ATGTCCCACTGCGTCTTGGCATCCTTGAACAGGGTTTGAACGCGCTCGGCACGGTCGGCCTGGTCTTTCTCCTCCACCTCGCGTTCTTTCCGTTCCTGCTCCATCTCCTCCATGTGCCGCAGGTCGTCCACGCTCGGCTCGTAAAGATGCCAGATAGTGTAATGTGGGAGGCCGATGACCGAGAACCCCATGCGCTTGGCCATCTACCGAGGGTTAGTCTCATGCAGACGCAACGACAAGATAACAGCCCCGCCGGATACGCACCTTGCCGAAGGCTTCTGTCTCGGCATGCTTCTCGAAGCTGAAAGCTGGGAAGTGCACCCCGGAGCGGAAAACCCGTGCCTTCGCCAGAATACTGACACCTCCTACGCCGTCGAGTTCCATCTCCATGTCCGGATCTCCGTACGGGTCGCGCAGGTAGGCAAGATGAGGACGCCAGGTAGCATATTCAGCATACCCTTCCACGATGACCGCGTCCTCATCCAACGTGTCGGCTAGCGCCAACGCCGTTTCGGATTCTTGCCACGAGTTCAGGTCGTACGGTTGCTCTCCGCCCAGCCAGTCGGGAAGGGGTCGCCACACATCTGGTCACCATTAGTCAGAATGGGCATAATACAAACAAGCGTGCGGCCATCAGAGTCGGGAAAACTCACTCGGTACAATGACATCCTTATCATGCCGCATCAGATCCTCCAGAATCGTCTGCGGCGCGGTCAAGACATCCGCGTCGCGCCAATAGACCCAACTATGCGTAGGGCGCAGCGTGGCGCTCAGCAGCCAGTTCCGAGCCTGGGCCATCAGCTTCCGGCGGCTGGCCTGCGCGGCAAAGCCGTGTCGGCTCTCCACATCCTGGTTGACCAGCTGTCCAAAGTCCTTCTGGATCACGGAGATCTCGCCGTACGGCATCTTCGGATCCGCATCGTGCTGGAGTTCGTCCAGCATGCGCGACAACATGCCCATCGTGTCATCCTCGGAGTCCGACACCAGAAACGCCAGGTCGATCAGATTGTGCGGGTAGGTGAGGTTCCGCAGGTGCGAGAAGAACATGGGCAGGTGGGAGGCGGCATCGCGCAGGGGAGTGCACATGAGCACCCGCTCCCCGCGCTCCCAGCCACTGGCGGTTCCTTGCACTTTGGAGAGGTCATAGTATCGGATCGTCTCGATCTGAAGGTCTTCGTAGGGGTGGAGGAGGCCGAGCGATACCACCGGAAGGAGGGAGGCGCGCAGCGACGGGAAAATCAAGACGAGGAGCAACAGGGAGACACCGCAGAGAAGACATAGTCGCTGGAAGAGTTGCCTCCGGCGGCGCAAGGCAGGTTGTGCCCGGGGTTGAAAACTACTAAATGCCCAGGTTAGCGGACGGATCTACTCAGGTTTCTGTCGACACGGCGCTGTATCCCATCGACGTGATACAGGATTCTGGCGCGCGACGTTCGCCGAGGAAAGGACCGCGTACCGGTGGGGGGAGATGGAGAATGAGCTGTTGCTCTTGCCACGGGGATAGGCAGCGTAGCCGTTGCCGAAGGCGTGATGCCTGTTCATCTCTCCTAAGATGACATGCAGCTAAGGAGATCGACTTGATTTTACAAAGCAATTGTCGAGGTTTTGATGTTGGAGAAACTTCTTCCTCAAACTACCGACGAAATCGCAGCCGACGGAGAGGATGAAGAGGTGAATTGAGGTTGGAAAAATGAAGACCAGCGGGAATATCGCAAATCCGCGATCGGTGATGAAGAGAAAAGATGCGGAACGAAAGACAAGGGAGGCAGGGAACTGAACAGCCCCCGAGGCTTTGACCGGAGCAATGATTGCGTCGAGAGAGGAGGTACGTAGGCTCCAGGCGGTCCTTTGGACCAAAAGCCGCCAGGTGGGATCCGCGGGCGAATCTGGACCCAGACCCGAATGCGGTACGAGACCCAATCTTCTTCCCGCCGCCCGCCCGTTTGCAGCCATCTTCATCATGGATCACTGCTAGCACTTCCCACATTTCTCAAGCCGAAGAATGAACGAATGAAAGAATGACTGACTCAGTTACTCTTCCTCATTGGACTGATTCTGCACGTATACAGATATAACCTCTATTTACAGAACATCCCTATCATAACATAGGTTCCGCAAAGAAAAAAAGATAAGGGAAAAACTCCAAGATTGCAAACCGATAAGACGCCTCAAAGAATGCTCGGGATTTTTGAACTCCTTTCCCTCGAACGACAACACCAAGATGATGAATGCAAGATTAGAACGCCATGACCAAGATGAGAACTCCAAATACCCGAGTAATCCCGATCAGTGGGCACTTAGTCGGGACACCCTGGACTGGGGCGAGCCCATGCCCTTGACACCGATCTCGACTTGTCGCATCACCTTCTGCAGCAGCGCATCCATGCGCGGCAAGTCTCGCAACACGGGAATGACGGATCCGGCCTCATACTCGCTATCCAGGATATAATAGCGCTCTCTGCCCCAGTTCTCTACCGTTTCCCTCTGGAATGCGACTTTCGCAATGACCTTGGCTGGAACGCTAGCCTTGTTGATTGCACTCTTGGAGAAAACCCGCAAGATGGGCCGGAGTCCAGACCGGGTCTGATGCGCCATGCGCACCGACAAAGGTGCCGAGGCGGTGAGATGGCTCTCCCCGGTCATAAATCCGGGGTCCATCGTATATACATTGAGCGAGATGTTGCCCGCCTACAATAACAGTCAGTCATCACTCTGGAGAAATAACTAAGGGCTCACTCACGAGTACCAGACTCCGGCGCAAGGCATACATAGCAGCGCTCATCAACAGCTTACTACTTCCGAACCGGGCGGTGGCTTCCTTTGCACTGATCGGGGTTCCCGGGGCCTGGCTGACGTTGTCCGGGTCCTGCTCATCGAAGTAGTCCAGGGACCCTTTGGACATGGCGGCGCATCCGATGTTGATGACTCGGGCACCGCCGTTTGGGGTTCCGTCGCCGGCTCGGAAGGCCTCGAGCAAGCTCACCGTCAACAAGAACGGGGCGATGCAGTTGGTTTGGTAGACCGGGTCGTACCCATCTCGTGTGACTTGATCGGTGACGTATGACGAGCTGGCCGCGGAATTGATCAGGAGGGTGACAGGAGGAATCTCTTTACTGCGAACTCTCTCCACAGTATACTGTGCAAAGCTCGCCACCGAATTGAAGCAGGCCAGATCACACTTGACCACCTCGACGGACCGCGGCCCAATCAAACGGATGCGGCTTAGTACATCCTTCACGGTGTCGGATCTGATATCCCGAGCCACCAGCAACAGGTGGACAAAGGGCTGTGCTTTGGCGATGGAGACGGCAACCTCTGATCCCAGCAGGCCACTGGCCCCGGTGATAATGGCTGTACCATGTAGTGGAGTTCCCATGGTAAGGACGAAGCACAAGAATCGAGCAGGTGGTAGAAGAAGTTTACTGCAAGGGATACAGTACAGATAGATCGTGCAACGTTTAGAAAGGTCAGTCCGACATGCTTCGATCCGAAGCCAGCAAGTCTAGACAGAGAACAGTGAATGGCGACGCAAGATCTAAGGAGGTTAGAACGCGATTATAAATCTATGCGAACGAGAACGTCGGTCCGCTTCCAAGTGAGCCAGCCGACAAGACCGACTAGTCAAGTAGTAAGTAACAGTGGTAGACGATTTTAGGGGCTAAATTCTGTAGAGGCCAGGCCGGGCGGCAGGCGAATGGAAAAGAAAGCCCGAGATGATGCCAATTCAGACAAATCAGAATATAAGTCGAAGGCAGAAAACGAGTGTGATATTTTTTTTCCAACAGAAAAAAAAAACAATAAACAAAAAAAAAAGAAAAGGGAAAGATGAAAGGAGGCAGGACCAAGAGGAAAAGAAGAAGAAGAATAATACCTGGAAGAACCACTAGAAGCCAGTCGATCGGGATTGCAAACCAAGGAAAAAAAAAAGGTGCTTCCCAACCGAAAACCGGCCTTGCGGCAAGGGAAGGATGATTGATGATGTGCCAGACTGAACCCAAAGGACCTCCTTCCCCCCAAGACCCAAGACCCAAGACCCGAAGAGCCCCTAAAAAAATAGTGAGATCCCCCAAGAGTTCAGCGACACCAACCAGAGTGAAACACCGGGACTGTGAGTGGGGTGTTTCGTTTGGTGGGAGGGGAGGGGACGGTTCCACCCCGGAAGGGCCACACGCGATTCCCGATGGTGTATTAATAGTAGATGGGAGAGATCTTGGTAGACTAGGACCTCTCTTGGTGGGTTTCTTTCAAGATGGGTCGATACCCAGAGATGAAGACTAAATATGAAAGTGAACAAACAGCGAAGTGTTGCCGAATCAAAATGAATCTCAATGAATCGAGAAAGTTGGAAGAAAAACACTGTTGACCAGCCAATTTCAAGGACAGACTGTCCATAATAAATAGTACTGATCGATTGATATTTGATAAGATGAGGACGGTCAGTAACTCGATCGGATGGATGTACGTACGGTTAATGCCTCTTCCATCCAGGGTACAGAACAATCTGCTCGTACAGATGCTGTCTGGCAAGTTCCCAGTTCTATTCTAAGCCAAGCGGGCAGTGAAAAAAAAGAAAACGAAAAGAAAAAAGAAAAGTCGAGTGTTAGGTCACCCAGATCAGGTCATAAATCAGGTCATATTGGGAGGGGAAAAAGGGAGTCTTGCAGGCGAGACATACATACATCGGACATGGCCATTTGACTGTCCCAGTCCAGTTGAATCGCATCCAGGAACTGTAATAATCCTTCCATTATTCCAAAGTGCCCCATAATGATCCATTCCTTTAGCATACCTCCTCCTTCAAAGGTTCCTAGTACATTAGGACCCATCTAATCCCTGCTTGAGTAGTGTCAAGCGAGTATGTATGACTGAATGTAGGTATGGTTGAATGTAAGGATGTAAGTAAGTTAGTAAGTTATCTTAGTCGGATGTACTGGACGTACTAGGAAGGAGTGTAAGAGTCGAGTCGGTCCGGGGAGAAAGCTCGAGAAAGAACGAATGCGACCCAATGAATCCGAATGATTAAACTCCCCAACTTCCCCAAGTGACCTCTCTTTGTGTGTTTATTCTCCGATGCTTTCGTTTACCCCGGACCTCTTCGAGGTTGTTTCGAGGTCGGATGACGGCAACCTATGTGGGCGAACTCTCAAACCAATTCCCAGAACCGTGGAGTGGACTTAACTCACACACTCCTCAAACAAAACAAAACAACCACCAGTCATTGACCATCAACCCGCAACAACCGCAAGCTTTGGCCCAAATACAAAGAGGGAGGAGGGGGATTGTCTCCGCTACCAGCTGTGGATGACATCTCATCAAGCGGGGGATGGAGTCACGATCTCCCCCAGTTCCGCTGGTTTTAAGGTCCGTGAGTTTCTAAGGGATGGAACTTTGTTTCTCTTCGCCTCGACCCGGAGATCCGCAACCCCCGTCAAAACGAAACAAACAAAAACAGAAAGGGAAAAAAAAAAGAAAAGAAAAGACACATTTAAAAAAAAAACAAGAAGCAAGGTGGCGTTGTTCCGCCCTGTTCGGATAGGGTCGAATCATGAATGCTGCGCGATCGAACGCATGTTCTTCTGCAGCCACCGGGGTAACCGTAGTACGGTATCTCGGTATACAGTACTACCTGGTACATACATAGGAAGGAGCATGTCGACATTGTTGCTTTTTCTTCGTCGTTTGCATTGCGACTATTGTCCTCAGAACCGCGTGATAGAGGTTTGTCATCTGTTAAAAATGGTTAATTAAAAAAAGCATAGGGTGCTCACAGCCTCACAAGACGCACAAAGCTCGGTCGGAGAAGACATATCAGGTCCCGATATCCGAAAGGAGGAGAGAGATATGTACTCAGCTCAGCTGTATGTACACCGGGCAGTTGTTACATGTACCCTGGAGGCTGGTAGTACTCCGTACTCGTCGAACTTTTGGCCGAGCGGTCTGGCTGTCTGTCAGTGACCGTTTAGTCTGACAATTCAAACGTCTAGATCATGGAAGATCCAAAAGTTTAGCCTGTCGGCTTTGCATCTAGACAACTCGGGGCTGGAACATGGCCAGTCCGGAGCCCGAATCTCTGGGTTACTCTTTTGTATGGCTGTGCTGTACAATACTAGACTAACACTGTACCACAGGGAACCACTCCTACTACCAAAGGAGTCTTCAGTTTACGTGCTACGACATCATGACTTCGGGGTTGATTATACGAGAGAGCGAGGAATAACCCCGCTCAGCTCTGCCCTGCTCGACGTGTATTTCTTGGCATCATCACACCTCCTTCGCAGCCAATGCAGTCAGTGCAGTCAGCCGAGTAGTGTGTCAGTAGTTCCGGTGGAATGGACCGCCGTGCTGTCGTGGTTGCACTCATCAACCCTCGCCAAGAACCAGAAAACGCCCGCCCGTCGTTCGTATCCACACGTGTTGATTCCTAAGGTTAGGATATCATCGCTTTGAGGACCCAAATGAGGTTAAACCGTTTACACTACGCGAACTGAATTCAGGGCTTCGTTCTGGTTTGCTGTCGGGCATCCCCGGGGGTTCAGGCGAGAACCAAAAAAGAAGAAGCAGACGAAGGCCGTGCTAGTAGGTATGTATGAGTATCTAGCCCAGGATTATCATGGCCGGATTCTCTTGGCATTGCTGACAGGCTTCGGTTCTTGCCTTCAGCTCCTAGTAGACCGAGAGTGGCTGGCGTCATTATACACACTAAATGTGCCATCACACACGCCTGGGGCCGTCATGTATAGCTTCGGAAGAGGATTGACAACACAAACACTATTTTGAGGTACAACTGTGCGACCTTCACAGCCGCATCTGACCAGGTCGTCTTGTCTCACCTAAGATCCTCCCTCCTGGGCTTTATGCCGAAATGTCAACTAAGATCTTGACATGTTTATCTTTTTCATGGATCAGGGCCTCAAATCCTTTTTCGACAATGTCTTCCATTCGAATCTTGCTAGTGATCATGGATTGAGGATTGAGCTTGCCTAAGAGACAACGAATCAGCAATCAGCGAGGGTGAATGGGACGGCAGGGATAGCACGCCACTCAAGCTTACCCGAGCTTATGGCTTCAATGACAGCTGGAAAGATCCCATCGGCAAAGATTGCCGCCCCGATTACATGCTTCTCGTCTAGCACGATGGCCTCGGCGTCTACGATCGGTTTTGCCTCCCAGAGAGACACAATCGTGACTGTTCCTCGGACCCGGATGCCCCGAAGAGCCGTATCCAATCCAGCTTGCACGCCAGAGCATTCAAAGGCTACATCTGCGCCTGCGTTCCCGGTCATTGCCTGTACCATGGAGACGACATCTTGCATCCGAGGATCAAGGACATGAGTTGCGCCCAATTTACTCGCAAATTCTCGTCGCCGCGACGAGACTTCCGCGACGACGATAGACTCGACTCCTCGGGCAAAAAGCACTTGAACCACAGCCAAACCAATAGGGCCTCCAACGACGAGAACAGTCCGAGCCCCCTCGAGAGGGCTGTGGTCTGCTGCGTGCCACGCCACAGACAACGGTTCAATAAGCGCTTATATAGATCGCGTCAGCGGATTGCACCAGACTAGCGACAGAAAAGTGATAGAGCTCTTCCCTCACCGCCGATATCCAAAGGAATGGTGTCTGGTAGCGGAATGGCATGGTCGGCGTCAACCACGACGTGGTCCGACAAGCCCCCTGCATTGCCTTGAAAGTTTCTTTTTTCAGCCTGATGATAGCCGAAGCAACCCCAAGAAAAAGCAAAGGTATAACCTACTACTATAGCCCACAAAGCCCAAATTGCGACAACAGTTCGGAGTTCCGCGCAAACAGGGAGGACAACTCCCGTCGGACAAGTTGGGCCGGACAGCAACCCGATCTCCAACTTTGAGGTCTGCGACAGCATCTGCAACCGCGGCTCCCACCTCCTCGACTATGCCGCTAAACTCGTGGCCCCGGGTTGTTGGGAGCTTTCCCCCGGTGATCGCATGTGGCGTCAGGGGTACCAGATGCGGCCCGCACGTGTACTCATGCAAATCTTGACATCACACACACGCACACACACGAGCCTTGTGTCAACGATGATCATTTCCAGTTTGCCGTTGGCTGTGCTGCCAAGTATACTCTTAAGAGTCTGATTGTATTGGACTACTTACCACTTCCGCAGATCCCTACAAACGCAGGTCGGATCTCAATGGAAATGTCAGGGCTGTGGCAACCAGAAAAAGCAAAACAGAAGATGTTAAGCCAGGAGTCGCGCGGTATACACACATACCTTGACTTGCTTCTCGCCGCAGACCGGCTCTTCGATCTAATCAACCCGGATGTCTCCAGCTCCGTAGAAGCGGACTGCTCTCATGGTTAAGGATAGTAAATCTCCGGATTTGAGGATGGATGTACACTGTTTATGCTCAAAAATGCACACAGTCCACACTGAATTAAAGTCCAACAACTGGAAGGTTAACTCAGTGGCGGCGTGAAGGGAACCCAGGACTCAAAAGAGAAAGAGGATAGATAGGACTACTCGATCCCCATTTATATGTCCCTGCATTCTGATTCAGAGGGAGGTTGCAAATGCGGGGTAGAAGAGGAGAAAGAGGAGTCGAGGTCACTCGGAACTGGAACCAAGCTGTTACTGCTGCATTGGTAAAGTGCGAAAAGGAGGAAGAGGAGGAAGAAGACGAAGAAGACGAAGAGGGGAAGGAAGGAGTAGCAGTATGACTCTCCGACTGGCGGGTGATTAAGTGACTGTCACACTCTACTCTGCAACATTGAAGAACTTACTACCTGAGACACCTCATAGTCATTTACCTATGAGAAGGTGACTTAGTGTTTGTTGCTGGTTACACAAAGCCCCCCTCCCCCCTTCCTTTCCAAAGCACCGGCCATTCATTCGCTCTGCAAGGGAAGACCATTACCAAAGTAAGTTGATTCTTCGTTCAAGCCATAATGACTTTACCGAAAGTTACTCCGTACAATTTACGTCGATTGTGTAGAACATCGCTGTAGAGTCTTAGGAGGAGAATATAGTGAAATGAAATGGCATTTTTTCTTTTGGGGTTCGAAAAGGGGACTCGCTAAGTTCTTTCTCTCTCTTTGGGGGGAGGCGCGGGAGGAGGACAAGGCATGCGTTATAATAAAAGAAAATATTCTTTCACTTCTTTCCTCTGCAAATAAGCTGAACTGGACATATCATGGACATCGAAAAACGCTGTTTACCGAACGGTGGCACCCTTCAAGCTCTTGACGGTGCAGATGCCGCCGGAGGCGGTCTTCAGCAGGCCGAGGGCGGGCTTGCCCTCCTGGCCCTGGACGGCGGGGACAGCGGCGCTCTCGAAGGCGACCTCGAGGTTGTCGGTGGTGGTGAAGCCGGGCTGGAAGGTCTCCCAGACCTTCTTCTTGGGGTTGAGGACCTTCTCGGGCTCGCCCTCGGACCAGCCGTCGAAAGTGATGCGCTCGCCGGCGGGGGCGTCGGCGGGCGGGGCGACGAGCTCGACGGGGCCGGCGTGGGAGTCCTCGCCCTCGGCGACGCGCGGGGAGGCGGCCAGCACCATGGCGACGGACTTGATGCCGCGCATGGTGACGGGCTTGAGGTTGCAGACGGCGACGATCTTGCGGTTCTGCATCTCCTCCAGCGGGATCAGCCCGTTCAAGCCGGAGCACACCGTGCGCACCGTCTTGCCCGTCGCCTCGTCCAGGGAGGTGTTCTCCGTGCCCGGGGCGTCACCGCAGTCGATCGTCGACACGAACAGCGAGTCCGCGTTTGGGTGGTTGATCGCGCGCAGGATGTGGCCGACCCGGAGGTCGATGATGGAGGGGGACGGGGGAGCGGCGGGCGCCGGCGCCGCCTTGGGCTGCTTGGGCTGCTTCTCCTTCTTCTCCTTCTTGGGCTTGCCGCCTTCAGGTTTGGCGGCGGCAGCGGCGGCCGCAGTTTCGGTAGCAGCAGCAGCAGCGGGGACCGAGTCGGCCTTCTGCTTCTTCTCGGCAGCAGGCTTACCCTGGCCGACGACGAGGGGCTTGCCCTCCGCGCCGCCAGCGGCAGCGGCAGCGGCAGCGGCCTTCTCCTTCTTCTTGCGCTCCTTCTCGGCCTTGGGGTCGACGGGCTTGGGCACGAAGCGCACGTCGTTCACGTCGATGGCAACCTTCTCCTCCTCGGGGATCTGCAGGGCGAACAGCGGGCTGTTTTGGACGAAGTCGACGTGGCGGACGATGTGGTGGTAGCCCTGCTCGCCGGTGCGTTCCTCGGGGGACCACTTCTCGACCAGGGGCGCGAGCAGAGCGTAGACGGCAATGTCGGCGACGGAGGGCTTAGCGCCCAGCAGCGTGGTGCGGGTGGCCAGGTGAGTGTTCAGCTGGCCCAGGATGTTGGCGATCACCGTCTGATCGTCCTTGCCCTGGGCGTGCTGCAGGCCGGAGATCGTGGCCAGCCATTGCTTGACGTCGGCCTCCTCGGTGACGGAAAACTTGGTGTGCGGGAAGATTTTCGGGGTCGCTGTCTGGAGGTCGGGCTCGGTGGCGTCCGGGGAGATGGCGGCCGGGTAGGACCGGTAGAGGAGGGAGAGGAGGGAGGACTCGGGGGCGGAGTTGATGGCCATGTTTGCGAAGGGGCGGATGGCGAGAGGGTGGTGGGAAGAAAGTAGAGGTGAAGGTGTTGGAGAAAGTGGAAGAGGACGAGGCAGAAGAGCAGGAGGGGCAGCGAATAATCTTGCCGTCGCCCAAGTAAGAGGAGCGAACCGCGGGGTTGTTCTGGCGACCCGCAGAAGGCTCACGGCCGCTTTGATGGAAGTCAACTTGCCGGACTCACGAGAGAGATCCCAGTCTAAAGACGGGGATCTTGGGAATTGGAGATTGAAATTGTTTAGGAAGACTAAAAGTTGCGCTGTCAATTCCGCTGTGCGCGGGTAGAATCTCCTTTTTCTTTTCCCCTTGTTCTGTGCAATCACAGTTTTATGCATTCCATTGACAGTCATACGATTACTCATCATATACATATAACTACGATTTGTGCATCAACCTCAGCTCATTCAACTTTAGACACAGGTCTAATGGTACAATTCCATTCTCTACAGCATGCTATTGCAGCTTTACATCCTCACAATATTAAGTAAGTTAGACGAACAGAGGCTGTGCTCATCGCAAGACAATCACACGGGCGCCGCGACACCCAGGGAAGGACCACGCATGTCGAAAACAACATAGAATGCCTTCAGGAAGACGTCACCCAAGATCTGGAGCGAGGCGCCCGAGTTTGATTGAATGCCACCATAGCAAACTAGGAGTTGTTAGTCAAGTATCGCTTGATTATGCCTTCAAGTAGGGTAGGAAGTACTCACGAGCTTGTCCAGTAGTGGTGTTGGTGCCAACCTTGGAGAACTCAATCAGGTTTCCAGGAACCGTAGCCAAGTGCTGCGAGCCGATGGCAATCGAGAAGCTGGGGAGAGTGGTGTTACAAGGGAAGATGTAACCTCCAGCACTGCTCACATACACGGCGCTAGGCACGTCGGCGTAGTAAGCATCCACCACCTGCTGGTCCATCAGCATGAGAGAAGTGCCGGTATCAGCAATCGCCGTCTGCGTGTTGTTGATCGTCTGGATAGAGCCATTGCCCACTGCGAACTCGGTGGTATCGAACTGCCAGTATCCGTTGGAGCTATCCACGCTGACGTTGGCCATGGTGCCCTGGTATTTGCTCGAATCGATCAGACCGAATCCATACTCGCCTACGCCATCACTCTTGATGGCAGAAGTGAAGACAGGCTCGTCGAGATTAGCCGCAGCATTGGCGAAGAAGGTGTTCTGCGCTTGGGGTTCGATGCTGTTGATGGAAGAGAAACCCAGGCCAACCAGACCGTTCGAATTGGTGTCTTCGATGAAGGACTGGGAGACTTCAGTCGGGATTCCGATGGCTTGGTTCTTGACGATTGCACCGCCGATGTTGACTGTGTCGGTTCCGACAGGCCCAGCGGCGAACGAGTTATCACCGTAGGAGACATTGAAAGTTGCGCCGGGCATATCCTTGAACGTGGTTGAGTTGGCGGGATTGTACTGGGTATGACCATCAAGGGTCTTGTTGAGACGAGTATCCAGGACCCAGCTATTATCGACCTCTTGTCAGTATCCCGATCAAGTAACTTTTGTACCCGGTGTTTCTTACAAGTCCGCTGAGCCTGTGTCGAAGGTCACGACGATCTTCTGGCCACCAATTTCAACAGGCGAAACAAATTCGGCATCGCTTTCGACAGAGGTTGCGCTGACAGCACCAACCTGATCTGGCTCGGCGCTGTTATCGCTGGCAGCGACGACGTTGTGCTTGACAGTGGTAACGGGGGCGAAGTCCTCCAGCTCAATGTTGAGGTTACTGGGAACAATGCCAAACTTGCGATATGCCTTTCGCAGCGCCGAGGGACCATGCAACTCGCCCTCTCCGCGACGAACCCGACTGACCTTGTAAGACCTTCCCTTATGCTGAGTGCGACTCGAAGTTGGCAAAGAAACAACGCTGTAACTGAAGAACAAAAACAAAAAGAGAGACTGGAGGAGCTGCATGATTGTAGCTCAGTTGGAGTATGTGGATTAGTCTGTTAAAGAGTGAACATCCAAGCCAAGGAGGGACTAGAAACACAACACAAAAACAAAGAGCGCAATGATTAGTAGTCTTTTGATTGAAAGTGAGACTCCTTTCCTGAAGGAACAGCGCGCAGTTTATAGGGGAAGGTAAAGTATGGGGGCCGAGTCCTGACTGAGCCAACAACAACAAGAATAACCACCAGTATGGACAAGAAGGATGGAAGAGGAGTGTAAGCACCAGTGATCCTCTACCAACTGACGAGGGAAGTCAAAAAAGTAAGAATTGAATATTAAGAAAAGAAAAGAAAAAAAGGGGAGTGCTATCCTTTCACAACGAAAGAAGATAGCAGAGGAAGAGAAGTGAATGAACGAGCTACAATGTCAATTGCAGCAGGAAGAGAACGAAACAAACGCAGTCTATAAGAGTGCAAAAAAGAGTTACAAAACAGAACGAAAAAAGTCGAGGACCTGAATATCATTACTTACGCCCAGAAAATTCCAAGAACCCAAGAGTCGAGAACTGACGCATGGTGCTTAGGAAATGGGGTTCACTGGAGCGTGGCATTGTTCCAACTAAATGTGAGTTAGGCTGGTCTTAACCCGATATTGCAAGAGTTGGAAGACGAATCCACCGAGAAAGAGCCAAACATGGGCCAATCCGAGGGATTTGCCCCTGTTAGCAAAAGAGTATCAACGCATCAGCGTATCCATGGGTGCCAAAGCCGAGAAAGACTGATCAACCTGACAGGCGCCTGGGGAGGGGCACTGGCGAATGGTCGCCTCGCGAGCAGGACATTTCCGCCACTTCCTCCAGGCACCTGCGCACTGAAACCGCCAGCCGCTCGACTCCCGAGTCAGGGTCCAATCAGCTATTGTCAATCCTGAAACAACCTTGCCCCTCTTTGAACTTTGAAGCAGGCCCAGCGATTGAAGTGTTACAGATTTCTACTCTCTCTCTCTACTCCGTAGCTGTAAGTTAATGACCTTATGTCAATGGCACGGTCCAGCCGGCAGATGATGGGTCCTGCACAAACTGGATCCTATAGCTAGTGCTGCTATCTATTTCCTATTGCTAATATATCAGAAGACTCCGGCCTAGACTCGAGATCGAGAAGAGGGCAAGTTTCCATCGACCGGTCTATCCGACCTCAGGCCGCGTAGACAGACGCCTCCCGCGATCGCAAGTAGCCTAGCCCGTCATTCACCATGGATGACCGAAGCAGTCCCAAGATTTGGCCCGGAAAAAAGGTAAAAGGCAAAGAAAAAGGTAAAGAAAATAGGTTCGCAACTCAGGAGACACCGCCGGAACTACAGTGGGCTTGGCTGAATACCACCGGGCGTTTAGCCACGACATCGCGATCGTTGGTCGGACAATGGATTAAAACAATCTCTCGGCAAAGATTCGGCAGAGTTGAGATCCTCAGCAAGGGTCTCTCCGGATTGCCCGAGTTATGAAGGCTATTTTAAGGACGTTATTCCATGTGTCGACCTCGGGCAGTTGGTGAAGCGGGTCCAATTTGCTTCATAATTCCCAAGTCTCAAACAGAGCCAAGAGAGGCCAAGTCAACGGCGAAATTCGAGGGGTCAAAAGTGGTCAGCTAAGTGTCAGTTCCAATATGCCAAGGGGCTCGGGGCAGAGAAGGGACTTGACAGGCATTTTAAATCCTCAATCAATCGACATGATCAGCATTATTCAGACCCCATGTTGACTGAGGGGGCGAGGTGAGTATGAAGAGGATGATGGCTCATGTGAGCATTGCATCCTCTGGGCTCGTTCAAACTAATTCTACTTCGACCGGTCCGCCCCCAAAGCGATAGATCGCCCCCAAAATTCTAAGGCGAACCCCTGGGGAGCATAAAAAAAAGCAGAAGTTATACTTTGTTCGTAAACAAGAGATCAAGGTGCCTTCGAAATAATCTGGTATCAAGAATAAGTGCATCTATGCCCAAACGCCCAAGAATGATAGCAAATCGTGTGAATCCCCTTACATGCTGTCCCAAATGCACCGCGCTGATAGACATGAAAGAAAAAAGACAGTACTTTTACTCGACCGTGTCCTCCGGCAGGACGTCGTCCGGCTCCTCCCCAATGAATTGCGCGACCGAACGCACGACCTGCTTGATGGCCTTTGAAGCTGGGCTGTCTGGGAAGTTATCCACGAAGCTTTCACCGTAATCACATGCCATGCCAACTCTAGGGTCGAGCGGTACAGCGCCCAGGAAAGGGATACCCATCTTCTTGGCAAGACGTTTTCCGCCCCCGGTGGTAGCTCGGAAAATTTGCGATTTTGTGTTGCAGTTTTGACAGACAAAGCCCGACATGTTCTCGACCAACCCCAGAATGCGGATTCCAGCCTTGCGACAGAAGTCGATTTCCTTCCGCACGTCTAGCAAAGAGACTTCCTGAGGGGTGGTGACCACCACCGCACCGTCAACTCCAGAGTCTTTCAACAGCGAGTTGACGGACAAGTGCTCATCTGATGTTCCGGGCGGTGTATCGATGATCAAGTAGTCCATCTCACCCCAGTCCACATCCTTGAGGAACTGCTTGATGAGTCCATTCTTCTTGGGTCCTCTCCAGATCACCGCATCGTCCCGGTTGGGCAGCATAAATTGTACGCTCATCGCAGCCAGATTATCCGTGACCCATACGGGGCTCCAGCCTGCGTTGCTCACATGGATGGTCTCCGCCTCAACGCCCATCATTTTGGGGATGGACGGCCCGCAGATGTCTGTGTCCATGACGCCGACGGTCGACTCGGGGTTCGCAGCAAACGCATGGGCGAGTAGGGAAGTGAATGTTGATTTACCCACGCCACCTTTGCCGGACAATACGAGGATCTTATGCCGTATCTGCGATAGCCGTTCGGTGATGATAGGAATGTCGGGATCGGGGCCCTTGGGAGCGGAGGCGCAGATCTGTTGATTCGGGCAGCCGGCACAAGCATCGCCTTGACCAGCTTGTTCGGATTCAGGACCAGGGCAGTGCTCTATGAGCAGAGGAATAATCAGTGTCATGAATGTTGTACCGGCGCAAAACAGAAACCAACCTGGTTCGGGAGCGACGAGATTCGGTGCCATCTTGGAAGGCGCTTCGAAGTAAGCAGCCGTCGGCTCCTCGAGAGAAGGGGCCATTCTGGTGGCTGCTCTCCGACTATCCCTTCGGATTGATTTGAGTAATGAAAAGTGATCAGGAGGAATTGAACAAGGTATTGATTGACAGCAAGAAGTGGTGCTGAAGGAAAAGTGGCGGGGATCGATGACTGCGGGAAGTTGCTTGATAATCAGCACTTATCGGAGGGATGACAAACCTTCCCGTGGCGATTGGTGCGGGGCTGCCTTCAGTTCCCAGCGGTGTCGGACTGAATGCAGTGATAAGATTGATACGAGAGGGGCACGTTTAACGATCTTGTATGAGTCGCTTTGTGCATAATCCTATCTGTACGCAACTACTTCAGTGCTAGAAATAGGAGGTAGGTCATGTCTTATGATTCAGGATGTGGTTGGGATAAATCTTCTCTGGCTGCAGCTGAAGCTATGGCTACTAATGCTATTGTGTCTCATAAATCTATTGAGAGGCCAGGTCATCGTCGTCCTAGGATGCGGGTTTGAATCTACTTATGAGTACTGTATTGCTAGTGGGCTTGTTGCTCCAACGAATCGTTACAAGCCTGCCATGAGATTTTGCGAAGATTGGATGAAGGATTGCATGTTTGCTGTATCGAGCTAGCCTCCTACATGATTCAAGTAGGCCCAGTCCCTGAGATCCCTAGAATCAGATGAGGGGCATATCGATTGGGGTATCGACCAGGAATGCCATGTCAGAACCCTAACCCTCTCACGGGGACCAAGAGGCTATTATGATATCACAATCCTTGGGTACAGCACTGACGACTCCATAGTGCATGGACTTGATTTGAAAACAAATGTGTTCAAGTAAGGAGCCCATTCTTGCATCTAGCATCTGAAGCACAAGAAGAGCCCAGACATATCTCGTCTCCATCGATTCTCATCTCAATCTGAGAGTGCTCGGGTCTCTACCAAAGCAAAGAAATCCTGTAAAGCTTGCATAACTAGGTGCATTAGGTAAAACATAGCTTCTGCAGCTTCAGTGGATGGTGACACTAGGGCCTTTATCGAGGCTTAGCGAGAGGAGAAGTGTCCATTCAAGCACAGAGGATGAGAACACCGCTGTTACCGCCCACAAGAACTAATATATTAGTCTCTGTGGTGCCGGATAATGCAGTGCCACTATTCGGGGAGGTCAATGACTGTACCCTTCTGTTATGCATCTAATTCCAGGCTTTCTCCCTCATTCCGACCCGCGCTGTCTTTGAATCCCACTTAGACCCTGATGAGGGTCATGATTGGTGTTAGACCAATGATTCCAGCCTGTCCGTCCCATCGATGCCTCCCTTTCCCCAGTGCATTGGGATCCACCTCAAGCCATAACCGAAGACAGGCCATGGGGGAATTGGGGAAGGAGGCATGGCTAGTGACTCTAGGTGCTTTGTCTCACTCCCAACAAATTTTTTGGCGTTGTGATCTTAGATTAAGCATAAATAGGCAGAACTGGCCTTTTTTCACCCACTTTTTCTTTTCATCTTGACTTCCTTCCCTGACCATCACTGCAGTTTTCAGAATTAATATTCGAAATTGCTGGAAGTGGCTGGTTGTTGGCTCGGATGAGGTCAGACCAATCATTGCCTTCCCGCCAGTTGATTTTCCCCCACTGTCACGGCCACTGTCACATGCTTCTGCTTCTTCTGTTCTTCCTTCTCCTTCCATTCATTCTCTTGTCTTTCCCACTGCATCTGCCCGCTACAATTCAACAAATCTCCTAAACTCATTTCAACATTTCAACAATGGATCGTGGCCTCTCAACAGGCTCTAACCTGGGTGAGACTGGGCTTCGCGAGAGGACTACAATGGCCTCTCAGTCCAACTCAATTGCAAACGCCGAGGCTCTCTCTGCTACTGGCGAGGTCGAGGCTAAGGATGATGCACAGAAGGACAAGAAGACCTTCGGCCGCACCCCTGGTGGTACAGGTTCGTGGCACTTCCCCTACCTCCTATACCTCCCACCCCCAGTCTAGCTTGGAATGTCTTGATTATCTGCACCCACTAGCAGCAGACTGACCTCATTCGACGATGCGACAGTATTCACGGTGCCTCAAACACATGACATGGTCTCTCAACTCCTGTCACCATCTGAGCCTAAGAACCTTTCCGATATCATTGTTCTATTTATTTTGGGTGCCCATATTCTCTTACTATGGCAACTCCCCCAGGGTGCAAAAGTCCCAGTGTTTGCCGCCGTCTATCTCTTTTGGCGGGCGGCATACAACATTGGGATCGGATGGCTTCTGCACAATCAATCCCACCACAACACACTTGTTCGCTGGGCGGAGCAGACCAAGATCTTTGTGAACCCGTCCACAAACCAGAATCCCCATCCTAACCTGTATAAACTAATCAAGCGCGAACTGGAGACCAAGGTCCCCGTCGATTATTCATTTGACGAGGCCCCCCTCGAGTACAACACTTGGCTCGTCTTTCGTCGCCTCGTCGATCTTATTCTCATGTGTGATTTCATATCATACTGTCTTTTTGCCATAGCATGTAGCCACCACCCCGTTGATGAGGGTGTGCTGATGACTATTGTGCGCTGGTCGTCTGGTGTTGCTTTAGTGCTGTTCAACCTTTGGGTTAAACTCGATGCTCATCGCGTGGTGAAAGACTTTGCATGGTATTGGGGAGACTTTTTCTTTCTCATTGACCAAGAGTTGACGTTCGACGGTGTTTTCGAGATGGCTCCTCATCCGATGTACTCGGTCGGCTACGCCGGATACTACGGCATCTCGCTAATGGCAGCAAGCTACAAAGTGCTGTTCATTTCCATTCTCGCCCATGCAGCACAATTTGCCTTCTTGGTCTTCGTCGAGAATCCGCATATCGACAAGACGTACAATCCACCTCCGCGCAAGCGTGTGACGGAGCAAGATTCTGTATCCACATCTTCTCAGGCCAGCGAGCCTCCTTCGTCACCGGTTGATGAACAACTGCCCCACGCGACAAACCACCCAACAAGCAACCCTCCTCCATCGGTCCACAATCTGCTAGGGTTCCACAACCTGGACCTGCATCGGATAACAGATAGTTCTTCCTTGCTGGTCCAGTTCCTCGTATTCGCCCTGACTGTCATGACGCCATCTACACCTCGCTATCAATTCATCTTCGTGGCCAATGCAGCAATCTGGAGACTATGGTTCTCCATCGGTATCGGATACCTCCTCATTCGTCAATCAAACTGTAAATCGTGGACTCGGCACTTTGTCAAGTATGGCGAGACCCCTCTTGAAGCCTGGAATCAGTGGAAGGGCACGTACCATTTGAGTATGATCATGTGCTACGCGAGCTTTATTGCTGCTGCTTGGAAGATGTACACGTTTCCTGCTGACTGGGGCTATGGCCTGGTCTTGCTCCGGCATGTTCTGGGTGTAGGGCTTATTTGCCTGCAGACATGGACATCGGTCAGCATCTACGAATCTCTGGGCGAGTTCGGCTGGTTCTACGGTGATTTCTTCTTCCAGGGGTCTCACAAATTGACGTACAATGGTATCTATCGCTTCCTGAACAATCCCGAACGTGTTTTGGGTCTGGCAGGAGTTTGGGGTGCTGTTCTGATCACAAGTAGCGGAGCGGTCATCTTCCTCGCATTAATAAGTCACGTTTTAAGCATGGCTTTCATCCAATTTGTGGAGCGTCCGCATATGCAGAAGCTCTATGGCCAAAGCCTGCGACAAGATGCGGGGCTTGTCAAGAGCCTCAAACGATCCCTGCCCCCTTCGCTCCGCCAACTGCATGGTAGCGTTGATAAGATTGTGGACGAATCATTTGAGTTCATTGAAGAACTAATCGATACGGCGCGCCCTAAGCTTGCCGCTGGTGTTAACACATTTGTGAAGGACACAACTGCCCTGTTCCAGACATATCCTGCTCGTGTTACCATCTCCCGCATAGACGAAGATCTGGCTGGATATGATTCGCGGGACTACTCCTTGGTGATTGAGCGCACCGGATCTTCTTCGGTTGACGAGATTGACCTGCGTAGCGACACAGAAGATTCAAGACATTCGGTCTTTGAATTCGGCGCACCGATCAAGGTCCGGTGGACGGCGCCTTTAAATCACAGCAAGAAAGATTGGATTGGTCTCTACCGCGTCACCGACAATATTTCAAGAGAGATCACGCGGGTTTCTTCTCAAGGCAGATGGATCGCCACAAATGCCGGTGTCTACGACAACCAAACATGTGAAAAAGGCATCGTGACCAGTGATGTGAAAGTATCGGCCTCGCAGCGCCCAGATGGAGAGACAGACGATATGTTTACCGGGGAGGTTGTCTTCACTGGCGACAAGCTCTTCTGGACCCAGGGAGCCTTCGAGTTCCGCTATCACCATAACGGCAAGCACAATGTCATGGCGATCTCCCGTCCCTTCGAGATCTGTACCGCACGGTTTGACGAGGAGGAATTCGTGGAGAGTAATCAGGACGATCTCCAAGCATCCGTGGAGCTGAAGTTATTGCCTGTGATCCGCAACTGCTTGGACCAGGATCCCGAGATAGCACCCGAGACAGTGGAAGAACAGTTTGGCAGCCAAGTGGAACGAAACGGCAAGTATGCCAAAAGAGTTGTATTTGCCGTACACCAAATGTGAGTATCTCACCAGTATTGTTTGTTGTTGCACAATTAACACGGCTCTTCCAGGTTTGGGGTGGAATTTGCGCCCGAGGTGGTTCGAGCTGATGGAACAGTCCGCAATCTTGCGTGGAGGATTTGCAATGCAAAGCGAGTCTTGGTAAGTATTTCTATCGAGTCACATCCTATTCGGAGACCAGATGAGAGAGCCTGACATGCGAATTAATGCAGGCTCCCTACAGCATGACGAGCAACGGCACCTCTACTCCAAGTGAAAGACTAGAGAAGGCAGAGATCGTGGCATGATATCATTTCAGCGCACAGTATTTCGAACATATCCTCGATTTATCCTGCCGGTATTCTCTCCTGAACGACTGGCAATTATTGCAATTGCGCATGTCAACTCACACCCTCCAACAACACATGAAAAATGAAAAGGGCAGGCAAGTACACAGCGTCGCACCAAAATCAACAAGCTTATATTCTGTCATGATCAAAGCGAGTTCTTCTGCAGGACTACGCTTATCCTCGGCTGACTAGTTCTACATGTACATATGCTTTAAGCTATACATACGTATCATGGAATGATGTTTTTCGCAAAGTCTTCTTTTCATCTTCATATTATAGAATGACGAGATCGAGAGAAGAATGGGCACGAAGGGCAGAAGGGGAAAGGGGGAAAGGGGGAAGATCGTCGAATGTCCATCAGGCATTGGTGAAATTTTGTCTCATGGCCGTGAAGGCTCTGAAGTAGCAAATACGTAGATATGCAAACATCTTCTGAACGACGACGATCAAGTGACTGGTGGCAGGGAAAGGGGAAAGGAAGCAAGACATTGAACTGAAAGGGCCAAGACTGTGAGCAAATCATGCAGAAATCAACAAGAGCTGATCATATTCCATGCTATCTACGCCTAGCACTATCCGACACACACCACACAAGAGCATCGAGACTTGTTCAAGAATCGAATCGGTCTGCAACCAGACATTGTCAGCACAACCGCGATGAATACCCAGCAGATGATGTCTATATCACAAAAAGAACGAAGTAGAATAGTAATCAGCCAAGCCGGTAAATTCATCCCTTCCCCTGCCAACCCCGACCCCCCAACTCGCCGTCCAAAACGAACTTCGAGCCAGAAGGAAGGCATTGACACAAGTCAAGCGTAGCGAAACCAAACCACGAAGGATCCCACAAGCCCACAGGAGGTGAAATGTACAAAGGAAAAACAAATGACGGGAATCCACACTCTCGAGAGCTCCACAACCTTCCTCCCTGATGAGAGAATGATCCGAAGATCAATCTCCCAAAAGGTCCAGTATAAGGGAGATGAGAAGACGTGACATCAGTTTGTCCACCTATGATGTACATTTGCTCGATGCAGGGTGTTGTAGGTTTTATCAGGAAGAGATCTCGCGCGGCTCGAGGGGCGGTTCTCCACGAGGGGAGATCATTGAATGGATTGACTTGTTGTCATCATAGACATGGTGTTGTGGGCTGTTTGTGTATGGGTATGGGAGAAGATGAGTCTTACCTTCTATGGGTGGCGTGATAATGTCGTGTCAGGTGTTATGGTTACAGTACCTAGAAAGTCTTCGCAGCTGTTAGCATGCTGTTTTGTTGTCTTCATGGGTGAAGCAATGTTTAGGATGATTGGTATCAGGAGTTTTTGGTAAGGTATTTGGTTATCTTCAAAAATTTTGCAGAAGCAGAACTGAAAATAAATTTTTCTCATCATGAAAAGGCAGATCGAGTGGTGAAACTCGATGCGCGTGGGCAAAGATGAGTTCGAAGTAAGGAAAGCTTACATACCAATTCATCTACAATCGCTTTCGATGTTCCACACTCCTCATGACATGAATGAGGTTGTGTGATCCTAACTTTGGTGAACATTAGCAAATTGTCCACTGCAGTACAATGACTGAGCATGAAGCAAGAATTTGGGATTGAGGTCAGATGGTGATGCATGTTTGTTCGAGGCCCATGTTTAGGTCGCCAGAACTTCGATTTTTTGGATCGCTTTCATCATGCAAGTGATGCTTGGTTGGGTTGTGGAATAAGATATACTCACAGTTTACAGATTAGTGGCCAGTATGGTGTTCGAAAGATGACGCATCATGCTTTGCTTCGCATTTGAAGAGCTTGAGCTGTCGAAATCACAACAATCATTGTGTTGTGGGGAAGAGAGAAGGAAGAGAAGGAGAAAGCAAGCGCGAAGCGAAAAGCCGAAGAAAAACCCACGAGGGGGAAAAAAAAGGCGCCGAGCTTCCGCGATCCCACCCATGCAAACCATGCAAACCCTTCTCAAAAATGGATGTAGCTTTGCGGGCAGTTCGACCGCCAGCTATCGGATCGCTTTATCAACCCCCATCATTATTATCTGCCCCTCCCTCCGCTGCTTTTCCTCCGATCACTTGTTGTAATTGATCGCAGGGATGCAAAGACATGTGTAATGACTGACAGACGAAGAATTAATGGGCCGCCTAGCGGCACGAGGCCTGCGGTTTTCGCCTCCTCTCTCAAATCCGCCTCCGGTGATGCCACAGAAAGACCTCGCCGTCATAGACAACCAAATGAGTTGCGCAAGATCTGTAAGAGCTTCCTCTCTTCCCACGAGTTCGCGAACAGGAAGCTAATCTGTCGACTAGTCCTCAAGACGGGATTGATCCCTTCGGCTTCCGGCTCCGCATACCTTGAATACGAACCATCTGCCTCCCTCGCTGCAGCTCGGTCCTCTCCTCAGTCCCTGATCCCTCCTTCCTCGGCCTTGAAGCTTGCATGCACCGTTCATGGACCGAAGCCTCTTCCCCGGTCGGCGACCTTCTCGCCAAACCTCGTTCTTACTACCCACGTCAAATACGCGCCATTCGCCGCCCGTCAACGGAAGGGCCACATTCGGGATGCCAGCGAACGTGACCTGGGCGTTCACCTCGAGACTGCGCTTCGAGGCGTGATTGTCGCGGAACGGTGGCCGAAGAGCGGCCTGGAAATTACAATTACAATCCTCGAGGCCGAAGATGACCGGTGGTGGGGGGATGCACCAGACTCGCACGATGCGCCGTGGGGCATGATGAATGTCCTGGCCGGGTGTATCACCGCGGCATCCGCAGCCATTGCGGACGCGCGGATTGACTGCCTGGACCTCGTGGCTGGAGGCGTGGCTGCTATCGTCTCGGACGACGCGGTTGCCGAAGAAGGGAGCTCATCGACGCCGAAGTTGATGCTGGATACGGATCCGGCCGAGCACAAGTCCATCCTGTCGGCGTGCGTGGTCGCTTACATGCCTGCGCGAGACGAGATCACTGAGATCTGGCTCAAGGGCGATCACTCCAAGGCTTCTTTGGGGGTGGATGACAGCAGTTTGGGCCATGAAGCTTTGATCGACGGTGCGATCAACGCAGCGCGCGGAGCGCATACGGTTCTTGTGGAAGCAGTCCTGGAGTCGGCTGAGCGGTACGCTGGATTGTCGAGCAGCGACTCATAATGAGGAGTCAGGAGCGTTAATGAAATACAAGAAAAAGTAACGCCTTGCTATTTGCCCTTGATACGATATATCCTTTCTAGTTTCCCCACCTAGCATGAAATGCATACGCTTTCAGTCGCTGTTTGCTTCCCTTTAGGTATCAATAGAAATAATCCATTGCGTAGACCACCTGCATCTTGCCCTTCGTTAGATGCCTGAGCCAACAATATCACTTCCTCTGGATTCACAAGCTACTGCCTCAGCGCATAAACACAGACACCGTGAATTTATTTGAAGAAAGTCCACACCTTCCTCTACCCTCATATCCAGCCTTCCTATAAACGCTCGATTTTCCATCAACTAGACGTGTCCGTCTTCTCCTACTTCAACTCCTCCTCCGCGCCTCATCATCTTAGAAACCAACCGCACCTCTCTCCATCTCCAAATCACCTACACACCACTAATCTACTCCGCCCTATCTCCCCGACCCCGATCATACACTACATACGCTTCAAACACTCGTTGAACAAGACCATGCCCGACCTCAAACGCACCCATGAGGCCGACGTCCTCCTCCTCTACGTGATATTGTTGAATGCAGACTCTAGAACCGTGAGTATTATTCTCACCTCGCCTCACTTCCCATCAATAACCGTTGCTCAACCTACAACCTCCCGGCTGCCAACGCCTTGATCGATCTAAGCTACCGCGCGTATCAGAGCACGCGATTTACTGCACATTCCCTCATCCTCTCCAAATCCCTCACTCATTCCCCCTCTCACTGGCACGGCAAGACTATCTCTTACGAGATGCTAACAAGTACTCTTAAACCATAGATCAACTGGCCCGCCGTCGCCGAAGCAACCGGTATAACCCAGTCCGCCGCCCGGCTGAAATGGTACCGCCTGAGGCAGGAGCTCGACCTGAAGATCGAGGCGGGGGGGTTTAGTTATAGGGACATGCGGATTGCCGAGGCTCAGAGTGGTGGTGACGGCGATAAGAGTGCAGAGGGATCCTTGAAGAAGGTTGTCAGTGCTGCAGCTACCGCTACCGCTGCCGGAGAAGACGAACCTCGCTCTGATGGAAAGCCAAAGGAACAACAACAGTCACGGCTGAAGAGAGAGAGAAAGAAGAAGTCCACAAAGATTGTTCAAGATGCGGGGTCGGTCTTGCTTTCGGATTCGTCCTCTGCGGGGTCTGATGGGGACGTTGGTGAGGATGATTGGGTTGATGGGACTCGTGGTGGTCGGAGGAAGAGTTTTGTGTTCTATGCTGGGGGTCGAGGGGACAAGTCGGGAGAGATCAAGAGTGGTGATGATGATTCTGAGATCAAGGAGCGAGAGTTGACGGTGATGGGGTCTCAGGAGAGGGCGTCGTGTTGGTCGTCGGATTCTTCGCTGGTGAAGGTCGGGATGTCGGGTGGTGGGTCGCAGGGGGAGGCTTGTGCTATCTACTCGGACGAGGATCATGGGGGTAATATGCAGGTCAAGGGGGTTGAAAAAGCTGGGGATTCTGCTGCTACTGAAGAGAATGGTATTGATAAGGTGAAGGAGGGGGCTGTGGAGTGAGATGCTTCTCTTTAACTTGGCAGTTGATATGCATTCAGCCCTGCCGTGTCATAGTTTCCGCGGGCAACACACTGAGCTCATATGGTTGAGCATTCGTCATCGAGTTAGAAAATGGACAGCGAGACAGCTCTATCAACCTCCAGTAGTTGAAGGTTGCCATGCTCTGTCGATGGATCGTTAGGTTTACATAAAAGATGAAGACCAGGTGCTGATCAAAGATTTTCACCAGCAGCATGTCGTATCGCAGCGCTCAAGCCCTCAGGCTGACTGTGAAAAGGACTATGAGACGCGTCAACAGTCTCTGTCTTAAAAGCATAGCCTTTTGCCGTCTCTTCGACCATCATCATCTGCACCGCTTTCGGGATAGCCGCATCTCGAAGACAATATAGAAAGGTACTTGGGGGCATGCTTCCACGCCGCATAGATGCAGGAAAGCACTTACTACACTGGGGATTTTAGCTCCAATTATTGAGAGAGATGTCGAAGCTATACGTAAGTCTATATTAGTCACTTGACTTGGCAGAAGTTGTTTACTGTAGACAACACCTGGGAACGGTATCTGCAGCGAGCAACTTGAATGGGTTTCCTTTCTGCTCTAGGCCCGACTTGAGCGGTGGGGTTGAGCACAAAAGGGCGTGCCTCGAAATGAAGATAGAGATTCCAATAACGTCAACACCACTGGATTGGTTATAGGCTTATATCAAAGTGGTTCAGCAGTTGAACGGTCGACCTGTGAGGGGAAGCTATTCATGAGCAAGCCTAGGAAATTGCAAATAGGCCACCTAACTTGCGTAAATCAAGAATGCAGCCTAATGAGCCAAGAGAGGGTAGTCCAAGAAGCATGGTCTCAAGAGACGTGCTTGATAAATTACCAAGTAGATAGACATTGGTCACAGCTATCTGTTCGGCGAGACAAAGAAATTATCAAGTGTATAAAAATGTCTCTTATCGGGGCACGTATAGATTTGGTGAGATACTGTATTCGTACAGTACATCGATGGTAGTGGCTGAGGAATCATGCCATAAAAGGTTCGTGCGCGGCGTGCCTGCTCAACATGTCAACAGGCTTTTTTCATGTCAGCTATTCTTAGAATTTTCGCACTGCGAGAAGCGAGAGTGAGTACTACACTGTACAGCCGGAGTGTGTATAGGTACTGATCGCACCATACCCAAAAGGTCTTTCGGGAATGGGAACATGTGGGGAACAGAAACAAACACGTGGGATTCAGGCATTAAGAAAGCAAACAGGCAGGCGCCACGCAGTAAGAATAACCAAGTATACACACATCTAGCGGTATACTGATGATTTCTTTTTCTTTTTCTTTTTCTGGTGGCTGATCTCAGGACACAGTATGTGTATCAACTCTGCCTGTCTCTCCAAGCGAGGAGTTCTTTCCGGGTCTTACCGCCGTGAGCCTAAGGATGAGACTAATCCGAAGAAAGTTCTTAGTCGATTCTCAACGGAGATCTAGCCTAGAGCCCACTGTCTACTCCGGAGTACTGCCTAAATTACGTACTACAATACTGACTCGAATCACTCGACTGTACGGTCTGTACGGAGTACTTTGACGGTATTTTCTCTGCTGCCTGAGCATTGAGAATTTCTATCACTGTTTTGAACAAGATGCGGTTTGCTAGGGATCCTTCGTCTTTGTCTCTCCGTGGGTTGCTGTAGCTGAATTGAAGGTTGATTCAGCTCCTCCATTCTGGCCTGGAACTTTGTCCGGCCCAGCCACGCTGGTCCAAAGCCCCGTATTCGCCCAGTTTCTCGCTCAACGCCGAATTCCCAAGATGTGGCAGCAGTTCAGGCAGGCCCAGGCTGGCGGGTCGAATTCAGGTTGGTCCCAATGGAATTCAGCCCGATACGAGACCGTTGTGCGTTCTCCCCTTTTTTGAGCTGTCAGGATGTGCGCGGAGTGCATGGCAACATTCTATTTGTTATCCAGGAGCGTGGCGTCGCTAGTATCGCCCGACCGTTCGGTAATCGCCTATCATCTCTTATCAACTTGGCTAGTCAGTCCTCACTGTGGACTTTGTTCAGCTCAGCCCCTAAATTCTGGCCCGCCAGGCAAATCGAGCGCAGTATAGATACAAGATGTCCCTTCGTTGTGACGATGGGTCCTGGGCGGATTGTCATTCTCCTCATCTCGGGAAATCGAAACGACATCTTCTAATATACCACTTCCACAATGGCATCAGAGTGTCGTGCGCTCTACGAGCAAATATGGCTCAAGCCTGGGCCGACTCTGGAATTGGCGCAATCGGCCCTGATGAAGCCGGCACCACTTTCGTGGACCCTCGAGGAGCGGACGCGACTCACATATCAAAGAGCAAGGGCCTTAGCACATGCATACAGTAATACCACCGCTGCAGTTGCCACTACATGGACAAGGGACTAATTGAAACGGAACAGACTTGACCTTGGATGATGTGGTGAACACGACTCCAAGATTTTGGAAGCTTCACATCGACCTGCTCACGGCTATGGACGGTGGTGCCATCAACCTGGTTAGCGTCCAGTATAATCTCTTTGTTGGCACAGTTGCTCCTTTCGCTGCCACGCAGCCAGAGTTGGCGTGGGTTATACACCAGGCAATGAAGTTTGATATCTCGTGCGTTCTCTGCACCTCTAGTCCTGGGCATCCGATTGACCTCAATTAGGGCACAATTCATGCTCACCGAGCTCGGGCATGGCTTAGATGCACGCAACCTCGAAACCACTGCAACTCTTTTGCCCAATGGCAGTTTTGAATTACACACCCCGTCTCCGGCTGCTGCTAAGTAAGCACCTCTTGTATCCAACCTTTAACCCTGAGACTAACAATGGCAGATGTATGCCACCGAACTCTCTTCGTAGTGGCTTGCCTGTTTTTGCAGTCGTAATAGCCCGACTTATCGTCGAAGGAGAGGATCGAGGAGTCCGACCGTTTGTCGTGCAAATGTCGGACGGGATCAAGATGTGCACCGGTATCACCTCGAAGTATGCATCCGAATTAATCCAGAGCCACCTGCATAGATATATCGAAACTGATAAGCGCGGTGATAACCCAGGGTCTTCCCACCTCGTCCGGGTGCGAATCCGATCGACCATGCCTTGACCTACTTCAACCGCGTGCAGCTACCGTTCTCCGCCCTCCTTGGTGGCAAGGAGGGCGCCCTGCAGACGTCACGCAACGAACGTGACAACTTCTTAGCGACCATCCACCGCATGCCCCCCGGAACACTTTTCCTGGCTGGTGGCTGTATCCCATTGATCAAGATGGCTGTTTACAACGCCAGCAAATTCAGTTTCCGGCGACATATCCTTGGTCACGACGGGCAGCCGATGCCTGTCATCAACTTCCGTACCCAGCATCTTCCTATTCTTCACGCCATTGCCAGAGCGCATGTCCTCCAAGCGTTCTTCATCTACGCTGGAATGGAATATTGCGACCCGAAGAATACTGATCCACGGGTCCGCCATGCCTTCGCTACAACCTTCAAGGCACTTACAATCCACCACTTCCAGACTAGCCTCAAACTCATAAATGAGGGCTGCGGCTGGCAAGGATACTATGATTTTAACCAGATTATCCAAGCTGATGTGAGCTATTTTCCACCTCTAGAAGATATCATGCATGCTAACTGCTTCCAGCTGGAGTTCCGTGCAGTGGCAACTGCTGAAGGCGACGTCAGGGTCTTAGCCATCCGTAAGTCTACTTTGTACCATAGTCTCCTGCAACCGGGCAAAAGCAGCCACACACGCTAACTTTTTCGTAAAACAGGACTCGCAAGCGAACTTCTGATTGGCCGTTATCAGGTCCCGCCTCCCAGGGACCCCAACGGCGTCCTAGCCAGACACGAAGCGGGCTTGATCGCAGAGGCGCGGGAACTGATCAAGTCTTTCGGCGGCAAGCATCGGAGCGAGGCTTTCAACCGAGCCATTCTTCCTCTGGCTCTTCCGCTGGTGCAAGCTATCGGGGCTCGCATGGCACTCGAAGCCGCTAGGGAGGTGGGCATTGATCCCAAGCTACGGGCGCTGTATGAAGCCGGAATCATCAAGGAGGATTCCGCCTGGTATGCGGAGAAGGACGGCCTCACGCGCCAGAAGCAGCGCGAGATGGAAGCCCAGGCGGCCGATGCAGTGCTTCCCGAGTTGGAACGATTGGTGGAGGAAACCGGCGTTGAGCCGTATTGCACGGCACCGATGACGTCCGACCGGCTGTGGAACAGTCTTGTGGAGGAATTGGAGGTCTTCTCGGGCGAGGGCGAATGCGAGACGGTGCCGGCTCCGCAGGAGATCAGAGCGCGGCTATAGAATGATGATACCTTGTGCCACGGCGTTGGACAATCGATTTGAGGGTAGACCGGAGGCCGTCATTGATTCAAGAATGTGGATTTAGCGCTTTGAGGGTTGCAGTACCTAAACCGTACTGCTAATCCGCATTCCCTTTGAAAGAAATAATATAACTTTCCCGTAATGAATTAGACCTTAGGTTGGTGCTCCCCCCTACGTACCCAGTAGCCTACTATACCGTTTGCTGAGCCCTCGTGTGACGATGGTTCGAATATGAGATAGAATTAGATAGTGTTGAATTGTTTGAGTAACATCTATTGACTAAGTATAGAGGCAAAATTGTCATACCACAAATCCTGTTTACTTACCCAATAAAAGATGCTGCTGCACTTACAAAGGATGGAACAGGACATGGGCAATCCATCTCTATTCTGAAATATTTGCAGAGTGCTCTACATACCTAGAGCTTTAGTCAGTTTCAGATGATTTGTTTCTACCTAGCAATCAAGTTCGAAATCGTTCGTCCATGTATTATGATAATTCACAGAGTCAAGGTGATCTTTTCAAACAACTACTGTTCTCTTTACTAGACGGACCGGGAGATTAAGGCGATTTCCCCTCATCTGCATATTTGTGGCTCTAGGTATCGCCGACTGGTCTGAAACTACCAACGCCATCTAGGTCTAAGGCCTATAGGTCGACCTTACTTAGCACTCATTGTTTTGTGCGAATTTTCGAACCAGCAGCAGGACGGACATAGTGGCCACTCCGCAAAAATAAATCCTCTCACTAGCCGCAGCTCTCAGCCGGTGAGAGAATGGAACATCGCCAATTATTCAGGCTTTCCAGAGGATGAGAAGTAGAGTAGCATGGCATTTATCCTTCTTTCGGACAATACATTGAATGGTTCCTAGTTCGCATTTTGAGTAGCAGAAATGACAATATTCAGGTTTGATTCTCTGCTCCATATTACACCCAGTGGTATAGCGCATTGCTAGCTATGCATGTGCAAAAATGTAAGTCATGTACATCGAGGTCAATGCCGTGAAATATCAAAAGGTCCACCGAGTTATTGCGCAGAATTGCTTATGCCATCGGTGCACATGTGAAAACCCCCCTTACAGCCCCCGTGTCAAATTGGCGTTTCTAGATAATTCTGTTTAGTAATGGCAACCTAAAAAGCTCATTGAACAAGGAATAGCTTACAATATCAACGATACTTGCATAGGTTCCGCCACCCAGTACAATGACCCCGACGCAGAACAGGAACGCAGCTGACAAGTCGTGCAGCAGTCGCTTCCGATCATTGTCTTCGCGTTTGCGCAGGAACATGAACCACATGATGGCCGGGATATAAAGGACGAACCCGGAAACAAACAAGGCCGAACTGAGGGCGAGAAGGTCGTTGAAGAACGGGATCACTTCCGAGATGACCCACGCAGAGACGGTGATGGCCAGCAGAACGAGCAGCCATGTGACCCAGCCCTTGGGGGTGTTAATGAACCGGACCACGGAGTTTTCGTACATGCGCAGATGAACATATCGCGCTGTGACCGTGTTGTTGAGAGCGCCGGAGATATAGATCACCGGCAGCGCGACCCCAAATGCGATTTTGGCCATCAAGCTGCTCATCGATAAAAGGGCGGGACTCTGGACGTCTACGCCGACGAAGGCGTAGATCAATGCGCCGACGAGAGTGTAGATCACGATTTCCATGCCGCCCAGGGTCCAGATCGATTTCATGTAGTCCTGGGGCGTGTGCATCTCGTCCATGAAGGAAAACTGGTACATTGAGAAACTGTAGGCAAACACGATGTTTGACACAGCGATGAACCCATCTGCAACGGTCGTGCCGGGTCGGGGCCACGCAGACCAATTGACACCCGCCAGACCCCCGGGGGAATTCGCTGCCTCGACGCCTGTGGCGATGATGGCGATAATAATAGCTGCCATAATCGAGACGAAGTCGATGTATCCAAGGATAGCGGCATCGGTGAACGACGGCATGATGGCTAAAAGCATCAGCAACACAGCCGAAACAATCCCAAAAACCATGGAGCAAGTCGCATTGTTGGTAAGAACATCAAAGGCAATGGTGCCAGTCAAGCAGTAGGAGGCCGTAACGAGAATGAGTTGCAGGACAAACATAATCCCAAAAAGCTCTCGGCCAAATTTCCCCAGCATCAACGTCCCGACGTCCCCGTAGTGGTGGATGTTCGGAAGTGCGATCTTCGTTTCCCCGACAAGGTAGCTGGCATATATTGCGACGACGCCCACCCCGACACAGCAAATCGTACCTGCCACCATTCCGAGGATTGCAAAAGAGGTGGGCAGCGTAAGGACTCCGAGAGCGATAGCCTCGACAACAAGCACCACAGTCAGACGTTTCCAGCCCAACCTTCGGAAGTGCGCAGCCCCTTCGGCTATCTTCTGTTTCTCGGTATCGGTGACCGCGTCGACATTTCCTTCGCCGATGCTGTTGTGAGGAGATTGGTCGGAGCTAGCGACTTTCGAGATTTTATCTTCATCCCAAGCCTTATCCTCTGTGTGTTGAGGAACGTCCTCAGGCGGATCGAAACCATGTTGCACACGTTTTGGATCCTCCATGTTGGAGAAATCGAGTTGAAGAGTGCCCCAAGCCCCAGTTTTCTTGTCCACCTACTGTAGAGTCTGAGGCCTCATTGTACGATCGGTCAGGCAAAGTGAGATTAAATTGTTGAGAAAGATGGAGGTGCCGTCAGAGAAAGAGAAATCCCCAAACCACCTGATCGCTCATTCAAGGCGTGAAGGTCTCAGAAATGTCTCACTTCCACCTGTGAGCGTATGACGCATTGGAATATTGGGCCTTGATTCGGAAGTGCTGGAGGGCGGAGTGCAGGAGGTAATCGCCGGAAGGGTTTCATTGACGTCGAGCATTAAGTAACCGCCGGCTTTCCACATGTAACGTCTTGCACATCGAAGCTACCTTCCTCCTTCCCCGCAAAACACAAGAGGTCCAATCATTCACCAAGGACAATCCAAAATGAGCGTGTGGCTACTGCGGATGTTTCTGGTAGGAGCGACTCTGCCTGCCCTTCAGGGCGCTCAAGCTCGATTGTCCTAGAAATGTGGCGTTCAGAACGATTCTCATTTTGACGACCTGCAACGGACATCCGGATACGCCGCATAGTTCAACAGGTTCTGCTATCGATAGGCACGACGCAGCCGGGCCAGTCGGAGCCCCCTTGCGGGGGTTGATCTTAGGACTGCATCATCGGAATCCGGGTTCTTAGGGCTGACTGTTCCCGCGCCGATATCCCTGCGGGAAACCGGAAACAATTCTGGCTGCTGCCTACGGAGTGCAGAATGCTGCTTATCGATAAGCTTCCATGTGGCAAGGGATCGTCGTGTTGCAGAAGAACCTGTACTGTACATCGTGGATTCCACTCGTGAAACAACAATCATGTGCATCGGAATTTTTGCTTTGGCGTAGATCACCATGTTTGGCTTGAACATATGAGAATCCAGGAGATTGAGCACGTTGAGCAGCTGACTGGTAACAGAGATGCAGGAGTTTTATGCCTTTTCTGCTCCATATGCTACCCAGTCGAGCAGTGTGTGTCGGCATCATATCTTGGAAGTTGGGGGCATTCCTGATCCATGATTTCCGTTTCCGGTCATGCCAAGCCTAAAGGGGCATTTGCATCGGCCTGGCCGCAGGCGACAATTTATGCAGGATCCTTAAGCATTTATGCTTATAGTTCTCGCTTCTTTCGAGGCACATGGCAGGGTTCTGTTCAATAATGGTCTGACATGGTTCCACAAAGGAAGGGATCATGCTAATAACATCCAATCAAGACGGAAATAGTTGCATAAAGGAAGACAAGAGGATCAATTCAAAGCGAAACTGGGAGATTGGAAGACTGAGAGGGATATGGCAAGTGAAGAGAGGGAGAGCAACGTTGGTGTTCGCTGAAAGTGACTCGGGACTATGATGGTCTTACCTAATCTCGACTCTTGTCAACCCGTCTGGCTCCCGCCTCGCTATGAGAGTATCAACAAACACAACACCACTTCAACCACCTCCTCCCCCTTCTCCGAATTTGCGATTCCTAGTCTACTCTTTCAATTGAGAATCAAGAGTAATCAAGATTGGTGCCATCGCGATCGGCGTTTCAGATCGCTGGGACTCTGGCTCGTGGCCTCCAATTAAGGGGCCTGGAGAGAGTGCATTCCTCCACAGATACGGAGAACCTCCGCAAACTCTCCCATCAATCAACATGATCAAGGTGAAGTGCCGAATCGATCAACCTGTCTGACTCCTAGCAAGACGCCAAACTTCCACGCCGTTCCTGTCAGCTGCCATCGAATTCTTCCTTCCTTCCTTCCTTCCTTCCTTCCTTCCGAATACTCCAAGCCTGGTTGGCGGCGACCTACAGGCACTCGATGACATTGCCCCTGTCAATCAGTATCGCAATGGGATAATTCCAAGAACTCTGGTGCTCGGCTGGAAAACTCAGTCCCACTCCGCGCCAGCGCCGTTCGTTGTCTATTGACGATCAGCTACCCGATATGTCCAATAGGCAATAGCACGTTCCTTCGTTCGAGACCCGCTTCTTTGATGGGTGTTCGTGGCTCCATCCCGCGCCTTTTATCGGCCTCTGACTGGCCCTAACCAGCCAACGTCTAGCCGACAGAACTTTCGGTCTCCATCAAAGGATGAAATCGGGTTCCTCTCACCAATTGATCCACCCAACCTCTGATAGGCTGACTGCTGTCACTAAATAAGGTAAACTTCGACTGCAAGTCTCAGGAGTGTGCTAAGAATGGCACTCTCGGCCTACTAGTCTAGTCGGGCAGTAAGGCCTGCAGGATGCAGATCTAATTTCAATGACCTCGCTGTCAAGTGGGTGAGAAATTCTAGCTTTTAGGTTATGACCGTAGGGAAGTTTAGGGCTCACAGCCGGAGAGGGATGGATTCAACGGTCTTCTTTGGCAACTGCGAATTGACAGGTATGGCTTCAGGGACTTTGACGGTTGTCCTTGACTATGTCGTCACTAATGCAAGTTCTAGATTTGTAAATCAAGATTCATGCAAATCCTACAGTAAGAATGTGTCCACCAGATCTCTCTCCCGGCTGTTGGCTGAGCCCCCATCCGCCCACGCTCCATCACTGAGACCTGGACCACTTCTGCCCCTGACGTAGAACCGGAGCAAATATGAGATCTGCGAACCGGGCAGCCACCAGAGGGCAATCCTTTATTCTTCTGTCCTCTCCTCATTTGCTTCTGTTTCTTTTCCTTGTTCCTCTTCCCGCCACCCCGTTCCGTTCTCAAGCATGATGAGCCTGCTTCCAACCATTCAGCATGGATTAGGTACACTATAAAACGAATATCGGAACACGATAGTCGACTTGAGATTAGGTTACCAGTCTAAGTGTCATTGCTCTCGCTTCGGATGCAATCGGTTAGGATTTGAGAATTAACGCAGTCGGACGAAACTCTTGAGGATTGACGAAGATCGCTCTGCACAATCATGGCTTCTCTCAGACGGTTTTTCCACACCGAGAAGTCGTCGGGAATGCCCCATGATGATCGAGACAATCGGACAAAATCTTTGGGGAGCGATCAACAATCCGCCGCATTCTCTACGACGATAACCTCACATCCCCGCGGTTCCCAGAACGGACCCTTTGAGCCAGCTCACAACATGCGTGCACGCCCTACGACATCTTATTCTCAACCACCGTCCTCACTCCCTTCGAGTCCAAGGCCAGACAAAATTCCTCGGCATGTTGACTTGCTTGACGCACTGTTCACTTCGCATCGATATCATATACAGTGCCCTACTTCTTTATCGCCAATTACTCCTTACAATGAGGACATCGCGGAAAGGAACATGGCTTTTTTCCTCAAGGGAACGTTTCTTCCCAAGGTGGTGTATCCCCGTCCCACTTCTTTACAAGGAGATGTCGCAAGAAACGTGTTCGGAAGGAACAGCCGTTCTTTCACACGCAGTACGAGTACACGACCTAAATCAGCACAGGGGTTGCCTCCCCGGTCAACTGATCAAAACGGAAAGGATTTCACACAAGGCCGGCCTCGCTTGCGGGCTAGGGAAGGCCGTGTAGCAACATCGACTTCCAAGTTATATGCTCGTACCGCGTCTTGCGCGCACGATGACTATCCAGAGTCGCCGACGGAAATGAGCTCCCAAAGAAGCTCTCTGCGCTCACAGAGATCAGCACCTAATCTAGTGGCCGGACGGCCCACAACTTCTGATACAGAGCCCCCGACACCCAGCAATGGCTTCCTTGGTGTGCCTCCAGCTTACAAGCAAGGCCGCAGATGGAGCACTACTCCCCTCCCAGATAGTCCCACCATCCCAATGTCAATAAGCCATGACCAGAGTCTGAGCGAGGATGAGTCAACCCATGGCACAACCGGCGTCACCCAGACTTCCAAGGATCATTCTCAGGCCGCCTCTTCTCGAATTCATTCTAAGAAGAACGTCCGCGATCTTTCCATCAATACAGAGCTTGCAGCTCGAAGGAATCCCACCTCAAGAGCAACGCACCGTGCCATCCAGCCACCGACTCCCAATACAACTGAGTCAGCACAACATATGAGTATTGCAGAGGTTATGAACAGCCCCTTGCCGGTGGCTTCACCCACAGCAGTCTCGCCTTTACCTCCCGCTACTGAGAAGGTTGCGGAAATTATGGACATGTTTCGACAGGCCTATACGTCCTCGCCGGTCATGACACCTCACCCAACGTTTGAAACTCTTCAAGATGCTATCATCCGTGAAATCAATTCCCATGACGCCTTCAAACAGTTGACATTTCCCGAAGCGGAAGGCTTTCTTACACCCTCTCCCTCGCATGAGTCGTTCGATAAGGGTCTGAGCGTGCCGCTATACCCTAATACGGGATCTGAAAGAGGTCCTAATGCGAAAGAAGGTCAACTCCTCAAGTTGATCCGAAAGAGTTCCTTTAGAAAGCATAAAAGAAACTCGGAACAACGTAGGAGCATCTCGACAAGTGTACCAACGACAGCCAAATCTCAAGTGTCAGAAGGGACCATTCGACGGAGGCACACCGATGCCCCGTTACCATCAGACCAAGTCTTGAGCAAAGCAGTCGCGGGTGAGGACAGCCTCGAGGAACCCGAGATGCCCATGACCTACATGTATCTGTTGCTACGGTCTGAGGAAGCTGCATCTGACATTGCCTCGAAGAAAGCCTTTCGCTTATCTGGAAACACGACCCAGTCCACGTCCACGCAGTCCCTCTCGTGCGACAAGGCGGATCGCTCCAGGCCGTCCCCATCCATTCTCTACATGCGCGCCCACGGCTCCGATTCCATACAGGGATCCCGATCTAGCTTTTCCGACGACGAGAGTGACGAGGAGATTATTGAACTACCAAGCCTCGAGCCTCCGGAAGTCATTATCCATGGCGTCGACTACGAACATGCGGCGGTCCCCACTGCGCAGAGCACAACTATCAAAAGCCCTTACCGGATCATGAGCTGGCCGCGCAAACCCACCAACAACGTCTTGAACGTGAACTAGCTTTCTTCTCTCTCTCCTCTCTTCAAGCGCTTCTCTTCCAGGCTCCCGAGATCCGACAACTCAAGTTGTCTGACCTACTACCCTCCATCCACTCTTGTGGAGGGCAGTCCTTCTCAAATGAGACCGTTTCATGATACCCATCTACATGCATGTCCACTAACTATTTCTTCCCCCCTTGCACGGCTTTCGCCCGATCCCAATCATTCCTTCCTTAAAGAGAAACACGACGATGTCTTTCTCACGAACGAGTGCTGCACATGATCCTTTTTACTGTCCCAAAAGCTGACTTGCTGCTACGTGCTTTCTTCTGGACCATCTCTCCCTGCTACAACAGAGGAACTGCCTCTGCTACCTACACTCATTGTATAGATGCATAATTTCCTATTATACTTTGTTATCTGTCTGTTAGCGCAACTATCTATCACTGCCTGCTGTCGTCGCTCAACATCATGTCTCTCCTTCTCAATAACAAAAAAGGTCAAATAGATAGCCAAGCTCCATGCGAAGTAGTCAATGGTGGTCAATAAGTACCTATAAGTCTATCACTCGGTGCCCAATCTGTCTACTTCTCAATTTACCAACAAGTGACGGCGACAAAGGCCTCATCAACTTTTACTCCTCAAATTCAGATAACAGCACACTGCCCATTGAAAAGGTATCTGATGCAAGTAAAGCAAGGGATTTCTAGCAAATTCTTAATTCTTTCTTTCAAAAAGAGAAGAAAACTCCTCATCACACGCTTTCTTTTCCTTCTCTCCCAAACCCCACCAACCCCAGGTTTTTCAGACACACAACAAAAAAAAAAAAAACTGTAATGGCAGGAAAGCAAAGTCATAACAGTCATAGTACGAAGATAAGAAGATGAGGATATGCACACAGAATGGAAAAATGAAACCACTCTTGATTGAAACGAAGTAGTGGTAAATAAAATGTCAGTTGCAAGTGATGTGATATTGAATAGTATGACGACGACGAAAAGCGCTTAGTACGAGCCTAGATTAGGGGGATCTGGGTTAGCGAAAATGGTTCGAAGATGAAGACGACAAGAAAACTTACGGCCGAACATGCACCACTTCTCCGCAGGGCGGGTACACTTGGGGTTGCAGCACTTGGTCTCGCCGGGAACGATACCCTCGGGCTGGTCGAAGGGGATACAGAGAGACTTGGCGCCCATGCTGGGGGCACGGGCGTCCTGGGCCTCGCCGGAGTCCTCCTCGGCCTTGCGGGCGCTCATGTCCTTAATCTGGTCCTCGCACTCCTCGGTCAAGCAGTGGGGGATGATGCAGACGTTCTTGTCGTTGAGGGCGGGGGTGAAGTCGTCCCAGTTGGTGATGAGCTTGCGGTGGGAGCGGTACTCGTTGTCGGCGCGGTTGTACAGGTCCTTCTGGATGGTCTCGAGGAGAGCGGGGACGGCGGTCGCGAGCTCGGCGATCTGGATGGGCGCCTTGCCGTCCTTGCCGGGGATGTCACGGCGAGCGGCGGTGACGAAGCCGCCGGCCATCTCACCGGGACCGAACTCGATGCGCAGGGGCACACCACGCAGCTCCCACTCGTTGAACTTCCAGCCCGGGGAGTAGCCCTCGCGGAGGTCGGAGATGGCACGGACGCCGGCGTCCTGGAGGACGGAGACCAGGCGGTCGATCTCGGCGTAGAGCTTGCTGCGCTCCTCGTCCGAGGTCTTGGCAGTGATACCGACGGGGACGATGACGGTCTGGTTCTCAGCCACGCGGGGAGGGAGGACAAGACCGCGGTTGTCACTGTGGATCATCACCATGACACCCAGAGTACGGGTCGACAGACCCCAGGAGTTCTGCCAGACGTGGATGGGGGGCTTCTTCTCGTCACCCTTGGCGGAGGGATCCTCGACGGTGATGCCGAACATCTTACTGAAGTTCTGGCCCAGACCGTGAGAGGTACCACCCTGGATACCACGGCCAGTGGCGGGAATGTAGCCCTCGACGGTGGTGGTGTAGAGACCACCGGCGAACTTCTCCTTCTCGGTCTTCTGACCCTTGACGACGGGAACGGCCAGAAGTTCCTCGTAGATGCGAGCATAGAGGTCGAGGATCTGCATAACCTCCTCATGGGCCGCATCCTGGGTCAGGTGGGCAGTGTGACCCTCCTGCCACAGGAACTCTCTGGTTCTCAGGAAGGGCTGGGGGTGCTTGAACTCCCAACGGACGACGGAGTTCCACTGGTTCAGCTTGAGAGGAAGGTCACGGTGACTTCTGATCCACTTGGCGTAGTAGGGGTACATGACGGTCTCAGAGGTGGGACGAATAGCGATCTTCTTCTCCAAGGGGGTGGAACCACTGCGGTATAGAAACGAATGAGTTAGCCAGCACGCGACCAAAGATAACCAAAGATAAGGAGAGTTGCATACGCGTGGGTGACCCAGGCGACCTCGGCCGCGAAACCCTCGATGTGGTCCTTCTCCCTCTGCAAGACATCCTCAGAGACAAAGAGAGGGAAGGAGCAGTTCTTGACACCCATCTTCTTAATGTATCCGTTGAACCAGTTCTGGATCTCCTCCCAGATAGAGTACGAAGCGGGCTGGCGCAAGATCAGCACGGGTGCGAGCCAGATAAGATAACCTAGAGACCACCCACCTTGAGGATGAAGCATCCGGAGACATCGTAGTAGTCGAGCATGTCACCCTTGGTCAGGACCTGCTGGTACCAGCTGGGGAAGTCCTCTTCCTTGGAGACATCGATACCGATCAGAGCGGCACCGTCAATCTTCTTCTTGGGAGCCTTGGAGGCGGGCTTCTTGGCCTCCTGCTTTCCAATTCCCTTGTTGGCAGCGTTTCCAGCCTTCTTCTCGGCCTTGTCTTGAGCCAACTTGGCCAACTTGGCGGCCTTCTTTGCAGCATTCTTGGAGACCTCGCCCTGGGGAGCAGCGGCATCGGCGGGGGCCTGAGTGCGGTCGGGCAAGGTTTGAGCGGCGGGCGATTCGGCGGGAACCGCAGCGTCAGCAGGGGCTTGGCTGGACATTTTGGAGTTTGAGGAGAGGGCCTTCGGGCGGGGAAAGAAGAAGAAAGAAGGACCAAACTCGAAAATGCAGTCGAGGTTGACAGAAGATGGGGTCGAGCGGTAGCGCGGAGAAGGGGAAAAGGCGTTAAGGAAGAGCCCCTCTTCTGAGTCAAAGTGGGATGTCTCTTTGCGCTTTCTCACCGCTCGGGGCCCGGCAGAACTTTTAGCGCAAAGGGCCCTCTCCCCGAACAAGTCGAACGCAGCAGCAAAGCAGCCAAAAGCAAAAGCAAAAGCAGTCCTGTCAGCTGTCGGAGCTTTTCTTTCTTTCTTTTTGCACCCCTTCTCCATATCTCCTTGTCTGTTTCACAATCATGGCAGGCATCTTCGAGGCTCCGCGGAATGCGGACACCCTTTGTGAGTTTAATTTTCACATTTCCTCCGACTTCACGTTCCCCTGGACCTCTTCAAACTGACTACGAGCTTCGCACAGTCTTGGGTGGGCAGAAAATCACCGGTGCTGATGTACGGGAGCAGAACGGTATGTGTTCGGAAGAAAGCTCAATGCTTACGGATGGATGTTGATTGCATCTCGCAGTCCTTGCTACGCAGGCGATCGCAAATGTCGTCAAGAGCTCCTTTGGCCCCTCCGGCTTGGACAAGATGATGGTGGATGACATCGGTGTATGTCTGCCCTCGCAACCCCGTCTACCCAACAACAGCTTTCTGACGCTTACCTAGGATGTTACGGTGACGAACGACGGTGCGACTATCCTCAGTCTTCTCGATATCGAGCACCCCGCCGGAAAAATCCTCGTCGACTTGGCTCAACAACAGGATAAAGAGGTCGGTCCTGCCGTTCGCCTGCGTCTCGTGCAGGAGAGGGGAATCATTCACGCTGACCACTGTCTAGGTTGGTGATGGTACCACGTCGGTCGTTTTGATTGCTGCAGAGCTCCTGCGAAGAGGCAACGAATTGATGAAGAACCGCATACACCCCACGACCATTATCAACGGTTACAGACTCGCCCTGAGAGAAGCCGTCAAATATATGAATGAGAACATCACTACGAAGGTCGAGACCCTGGGCAAGGACAGCCTGGTCAACATCGCCAGGACTTCCATGTCCAGCAAGATCATCGGCGCAGATGGCGACTTCTTTGCCAACATGGTCGTTGACGCCATGCTGGCGGTCAAGACCATCAACCAGAGAAACGAGGTCAAGTACCCCGTCAAGGCAGTTAACCTGCTGAAGGCACACGGAAAGAGCAGCAAGGAGTCGGTCCTGGTCAACGGCTACGCCCTCAACTGCACTGTCGCCTCCCAAGCCATGAAGACTCGGATAACCGATGCGAAGATTGCCTGCTTGGACATGAACTTGCAGAAGGAGAGGATGAAGCTTGGTGTTCAGATCACAGTCGATGATCCCGATCAGCTGGAGAAGATCCGCGAGAGAGAAGCCGGCATCGTCCTGGAGCGTGTCGAGATGATCCTCAAGTCCGGAGCTAATGTCGTCCTCACCACCAAGGGTATTGACGACATGGTGCTCAAGCTTTTCGTGGAGAGAGGTGCCATGGCCGTCCGCCGTTGCAAGAAGGAGGATCTTCGCCGGATCGCCAAGGCCACCGGTGCCACCTTGGTGAGCAGCCTGTCAGACTTGAACGGTGATGAGAAGTTCGAGGCCTCGAACCTGGGTCACGCAGAGGAGGTTGTGCAGGAGCGGATATCCGATGATGAGTGCATCCTTGTCAAGGGCACCAAGGTACACACCTCGGCGTCCATCATCCTGCGGGGCCCCAACGACTTCACTCTGGATGAGATGGAGCGTTCGGTGCACGACTCCCTCTGCGCCGTGAAGCGGACGTTGGAGAGCGGCAGCATTGTCCCCGGTGGTGGTGCCGTCGAGACGGCTCTTCACATTTACCTCGAAGAGTTCGCTGTCACAGTTGTATGTTGCCCACCACTCCAAACTTTCACACATGTGCCATATCAAGAAACTAATCATATCCTCTACAGGGCTCTCGCGAGCAACTCGCCATCGGTGAATTCGCCCAGTCCCTCCTGACTGTCCCCAAGACCCTGGCCGTCAACGCCGCTAAGGACTCGTCCGAGCTTGTCGCCCAGCTCCGTGTCCGACATGCTCTGTCGCAGCGTGTGCAGGACGGCGATGCCAACGAGGAGGAGAAGGCTATTGCCAAGAAGAAGACCTACCGCAACTATGGTCTCGACCTGACCAAGGGTCGTGTTCACGACACCCTCAAGGCCGGTGTCCTCGAGCCTAGCATGGGTAAGATCAAGCAGCTGAAGAGTGCCGTCGAGGCTTGCATTGCCATTATGCGTATCGATACCATGATCAAGTTGGACCCGGAGAGGAAGGAGGATGATGGACACGGTCACTAAATCAAGCTTGGTGGTGTCCTGCTTGCTTTGGTCAACCCACTCTACCCCAATTCCATCTTTTCCCTGTTTCTTCATGTGGAGTTCTTAGATATTTAGGACGAAGGAAGAGGAAAAGTATAATCAAGATATGAAGTATATTATTGTATCGCCTGAACTCCTTTGCGTAAAATTACCTGCTCTGGGGACTTGCATTGTTCGAACTCGAGTAAGTCTGGTGTGGTGCGCAGTGCTGAATTCCTCTTGTTGATACCTTCTTTATTGTAGTAGGCAGAAAATTACAGGATCTGTAAGGTTGGCTTTGATTTTCGATAGCTTCACTATCGCCGGTAGATTGCAACTACCGCCGCCTCGACTATCCGAGCAGAACTCCCTGCTCCCTGCTTTGCAACAACAGGCTTTCATGAACAAGCCATGATAACAAGCTTTCTAAGAACAAGAAGAGAACAGACAAAACATAAACAAAACACCCGCTAAAATGAACATAGACATGGATATAGGCCGAAACACCACAAAATGCACACCCCGAGAGCTGGAGAAAAAATTGAAAAGCAAGAACAGCGCTGAAAGAAATGAGACAGAACAACAGAGGAACAAGGAGAATCATTCATCTTCGTCGTCATACGAGTCCTGCGTTTGCGCCCACCCGCAGCGCCAGCGTTTACCCTCAGTCTCACCACTTGTGCGTAGATCCCGAGCCTCAGGGCCTTCTCGCCAGCATCGAGCACTGTAATCATCGCTGACCGTGACGAGTTCGCCGTCGACGGTCCAGGCAACGGCGGAGACTTCCTTGGAGTGGCCTTCGATTAGGGGAGTGCCGGATTGATAGATAGGAACGGTGTCCTCTAGTCGGCCGGACAGGCCGACCCCTGAGTTGGTGCGGCGAAGGAGGCCCGAACGAGTGGAGAATGGAGTGGCGGGAAGTGAGTCCGTTTCTGGAGGGGTGGAGCTGGCGGGTGAATTCGAGAGGAATCTCTCGTCTGTGGGGAAGAGAATGGCGCAGCGATCACTGCTTCCAACCGCTAGCATTTCGGGTTTGTCGCCGGCTGCTTTGCGCACTCCGACTTTGACGTAAAACGAGGACACCTGCAGACGAGGGTGGCGGAAGCCATATAGAGGGCCAAGGCCTTCCTTGTCGGAGCCGCCTGAGCGGCGTGGGCGGTTGTTGTTGAGGGATAGCTCGGGGGCATTGCCGAGAATTAGGTGAGATGTGGAATATGTATAGACGGTGCCGTCGCGGCATAGTGTGTAAAGTCGGGAGCCGTCCCCGCCTAGTGTGATCGAGGTAAGACCAAAGCGTCTGTACTTGGCGTGGCTTTCGGGTTCCCGGGTCGTGGAGAGGGGGAGAACAGGTCGGTTACGCCGATTGTGATGTGTCGTGCGTAGATCCCAGAGTCGCACGCAGGCATTGGCCTCGGAAGCAGTGACAAACAGGTTTTCGCGGCCTTGGGGGAGGAAGGCTAGCGAAGTCACAGTGATGTCGGAGCGGCGGATTTGGGGTTCCAAGCCTGGGACGGCAGCGGTTTGTGGCATCCATGCATGCGCGCCATGGATGGTGTTCATGACCTGAGGAAACGTGGTTTTGGAGGAGATGGGTGAAGTGGATGGTTCTGACTCGGATTCAAGCGAGCACTGTACTTGTAAGCAGGGCTTGTCAAACCCTTTGCATCGCAGATCCCAAATGTTAACATTGCCGTCTCTACTGCAAGTTGCCAGAACCTTGTTGTTGGCCGCCGGTTGAAATTGGACTCGCTTGACGGAAGAGACGTGATTCGAGAGACAGTAGATCGGCGTTTGGGTGGTCATGTCGATGACTAGCGCAGTCTGGTCGCCCGAAGCCGTTGCGAGCAGTAAATCATCGGATGAGAACTCCAAGTCCATAATCGAATTCATATGCGGACGGAAGGTAAGGTACGCTTGCGAGAATCCGTTCTTATCGCCTTTGGCAGAATCCAGCAATCTGATCCCACCCTCCTCGTCACCCACAGCAACAAGACTATTTGCTGCAAATCAGTCAGTAAACATAGCTCGATACTTATGCACATCCGGGTGACCTTACTGTTGCATGTCGCCGTGCAAAACGGAAGAACATAGCGATCGCCAGCAACACTAGCGCAATTGTGGCTGTCACTTGAGCGGGAGTAGAAATCCGAGGTCAAATCCTGCCAGCCTTGAAGAGAGTTAGAACAAGCGCCCAGGATATGATAGCGGGGGTACCCTACCAGCTCCGGAGTTTGCTCGCATCGTAATTCGATTTGCGCGGTTCCCCAAAATACTTCGCATGTATAGCGCCCCCGATGTTTGCAAAGCCTGTGAGCGACGAACCGGAGGAACTTGTCGAGGAGGTTTAGAGGCGAAGGTGGTGAGCTTAGGCTCATGCTCCGGTATGCTGCTCACATTCAACTCGAATTTCCGGACTGGGGCGGCTAGCTCTTGGTCATATTTGACCGACTCCCTGACATGGACTTCTTTAAGAGGTGAGGACTGAAGAGGCGAGCCAATTGATGAAAAGGAGAGCTTCCGTCTCTTGCTGGGTGTCCGTATGAGTTCGGGGGATTCGGATCTGTGTTCAATAGCCTTCAAAGTCTTCGTAAAGGCTGGACCCAGGCGGTTGACAGCGGGCGAGCTAAGTGTTTTGAGTGCCTGGCGGTTGGTCCTGACTGCGCTTGCATTGTTGTTATTGCCGCTACCTAGCATAGACCTAGGCGTGAAAAACCTCTTGAATGAGCGTGGAGTGACAGGAGGAGGCTTCCTGGGCTTGCGTCGGAAGCCAACATCGGAGGCAATTGAGGGTGGGGAGGAAGGAATATCCTGTGATGAGGGGGGGAAATAAGGTTCCGATCGAGGTACTTCGGGGAGATCATGATAGCCGTCCATTGTGTCCCGTAGACTGACCAAAGCACACGGACATTCTATGCGATGAACGAGTAAAAGAAAGTGCTTATTGACCCAGGTGGCAGAGAATGAAAGAATGAGAGGAAGGGAGCATTCGGAGGAGGAGGTGGAGTAGGGTTCAGTCGAGAATTGAATGGAATGAAGGAAGGCCCAGCAATGATGATTCCACTTCGGTTTAGTTTGGTCCTTTTTCTGCCCGGCGCGGAAAAGTCTCGTGTCGACGTGCCTCTTTCGTGACGCGCATTTCCCAATGCCGCAGGCGGTGAATATCCCCAATTTAGGTGGGAGGTCTGCCCAAATGCGGCAGGCGGTCTCTCCGTCCATCGGCTTTTCCGTCTAAATTTTTTAATTTTTCGTCTCGAAGTCCGCCGGTCAAACTACTTGGACTGGGAGCTTTGGAGCAGCTCGTCTAGTCTTTTTTTTTTCAATTCATTCACTATGGCTCCCATCAAGCGCAAGGGTAATGCCGCAGAGGAGGTATCTGTCCGCCAACCTCAGAAGCGCGTAAGAGTTGGCGCAGACGATCGCAAGTCAGAAAAGAAACAGAAGAATGCCTCCGACGACAGTAAGCCCAAGTCGGATGCGCCGAAGGCCTCCGAGCTTTCAGTGCTGCGCGACGACGAGCCGTCTTTCCCACGTGGTGGTGGAAGCGTTTTGACGCCTCTCGAACGGAAGCAGATTCAAATTCAAGCCACGAAAGACGTCCTATTCGAACAAAAAGGTGCTAAGCCCTCTTCCAGCAAATTCGAGGGTGGAGAATTCGAGGAGGATACAGATATGGAAGATGCTAGCGAGACCGCTGCGACGGCTGGTCAGGCTTCTCGCAAGAAGAAGGTTAAGGGAAAGAAGCAAGCGGAGAAGGATGCGCAAGAGAAGGGCATTCGGATTGAGGGTCTTAATTTCAAGGTAAGCAAGTCTGGTCGCCAGTCTGAGAATTTTGTGCGCTTACAAAAATCAGCGACTTGTTCCCGGCAGCATGGTCCTCGGCCAAGTTTCAAGTATCAGCGCTCACAACATCGGACTGTCCTTGCCCAACAACCTTACCGGTTATGTGCCCCTAACCTCCGTGTCGCGACTACTGGAGGAAAAGATTGAGAAACTCCTCAAGGAGGACGGCAGCGACGACGAGGATGGCGACGATGAGGAAGAAGACTCCCTGGATCTCCATAAATACTTCTACCTGGGACAATATCTGCGGGCAAACGTTGTCTCTGTTGGAAGTAATGCGGCTGACGCCAATCCCAAGACCCGGCGCCGCATTGAGCTTTCCGTCGACCCCCGACAGGCCAACTCCGGCCTTTCGAAGTCAGATCTCATCATGAACGCTGCAGTTCAAGCTTCGGTTGTCAGCGTGGAGGATCACGGTTTGGTCATGGACCTGGGTATTGAAGGTGCTGAGGTCAAGGGTTTCATGTCATCGAAGGAAATCGACCCCAAGACGGACTCTTCGACCATCAAGGAAGGTTCCGTGTTTCTGTGTATGGTGACTGGTCAGAATGCCAACGGTAGTGTCATCAAACTGTCGGCAAACCTTCAGTCCGCTGGGTCCATCAAGAAGTCGCACTATCTCAGCAATGCCCCTACGATCAGCTCTTTCCTCCCCGGTACCGCAGCGGAGATCCTGTTGACGGAGGTGACATCGACTGGAATGGTTGGAAAGATTATGGGCATGTTGGATGCCACCGTAGACTTTGTTCAATCTGGGGCCAACACAGGAAAGGAGGACCTGGTCAAGAAGTACCAAACGGGTGCGAAGATCAAGGCTCGCTTGGTCTGTACTTTCCCCGCCTCTGAGCCTTTCAAGGTCGGATTCACATTGCTCGACCATGTCGCCAAATTCGCGTCCGACAGCCATGGACCGGGCTCCTCGAACGATGCACCTGCTATCTCTGCCATTCTGCCCGAGGCTAAAGTCATTCAAGTCGACCCTGGAATGGGCGTCTACGTTCAAATCGGATCTACGAAGCACATTGGTTTCGTCCACGTCTCGAGATTGGCTGATGGCCAAGTGGAGAATATTTCGGCTGAGCATGGCCCCTTCAGCTTGAACACCGTACACGAAGCCAGAGTTGTTGGCTACAGCCACACCGATAACCTCTACCTGCTGTCTTTCGAGAGGAAGATTATCGATCAGCCATTCCTCCGCCTCGAGGATGTGACAGTGGGAGCGGTTGTCAAAGGAACGATTGAGAAGCTTTTGATTGGAGCAAACGGCCTTGATGGTCTTATCGTCGTCCTGGCTGACGGGATCACCGGTCTTGTGCCTTCCATGCACTTTGCTGATACTCTTCTTCAATTTCCTGAGAAGAAGTTCCGTGAGGGTATGACGGTCTCAGCCAGGATTCTCTCGGTCAACCTGGAGAAGCGCCAGATTCGTCTTACTCTGAAGAAGAGTCTCTTGAACAGCGAGTCCGCTATCTGGAAGGACTACAAAGACATTACCCCTGGATCGCAGTCTCCAGGTACTATTGTCAGCATCAAGTCTCATGGTGCAGTGGTTCAGTTCTATGGTACCATCCGCGGTTTCCTTCCTGTCTCGGAGATGAGCGAGGCTTACATCAGAGATCCGTCGCAGCACTTCAGACAAGGTCAGGTTGTCAACGTGCATGCACTCAGTGTGGATGCCTCGCTTGAGAAACTCGTGGTGTCTTGCAAAGATCCTTCGACTTTTACCGAAACCTACAAGGAGGCCTTCGAGAAGATCCACCCTGGCTTGCTCGTTTCGGGTACCGTGTTCGAGAAGTCCAGCGATGATATGCTCCTCAAACTGGACGAGTACGGCCTTGTGGCTAGACTTAACCTTGAACATGTTATCGACGGTTCTCCCTCGAAGCAGGCTTCGACTCTTTCGAAGATCCGCGTCGGTCAAAAGCTTAACGAGCTCCTTGTTCTCGACATCCAACGGGCCCATAGGCTCATCAAGGTTACCGGCAGACAATCCCTCAAGAAAGCTGTCAAGCAAGGTTCCATGCCTGGTTCCTTTGAAGACCTCAAGGAGGGCGCTGAGGTCACTGGCTTTGTCCGCAACATCGCCCAGACTGGTTTGTTCATCGAGTTCATGGGTGGTCTGATTGGTCTCGTTCCCAAGCGTCTCATCGCCGATGAGAACGTGAACAAGCCCAGCTACGATATGGTTAGGTCACAAGTTGTCACTGCGACGGTCCACTCGCTCGACGCTGATTTCAAGCGATTCATCTTGAGCATGAAGCCCTCTGAAGCCACCCGCGCTGGCGCTAAGAAGCCCGCCGCCAAGCCCGCTCCTACCAACGATGCAGTTACCAATGCTATCGATGAGAGCATCACCTCGATGTCTGACTTCACCTTCGGAAGAATCGTCAAGTGCAAGGTCGTTTCCGTCCGCGCAACTCAAGTCAACGTTCAGCTCGCCGATAACATTCAGGGTCGGATTGACGTTTCTGAAGTATTCGACAAGTGGGAGGATATCAACGACCGCAAACAACCTCTTCGTTCCTTCCGACCTAAGCAGGAGATTGAGGCCAGGATCTTGGGAGTCCACGATGCTCGCAATCACAAATTCCTTCCCATCAGCCACCGTACCGGAAAGTTCCCCGTCTTCGAACTTTCCATCAAGCCAAGCTTCTTGAAGGCCAGCAACCCCACCCCGCTCAACTTGGAGCAAGTCCAGAATGGCTCGTCCTGGGTGGGCTTTGTCAACAACGTCGCGGACAACTGCCTTTGGATCAACTTGTCTCCCAATGTCCGTGGAAGACTGCGCCTCATGGATGCTTCGGATGATCTTTCCCTCCTGGCTGATGTTGATAAGCATTACCCTATTGGCTCTGCCGTCAAGGTGCATGTCACGGCAGTCGACGCTGAGAAGGGTCGTCTTGACCTGTCTGCCAGACAGCGTTCTGATAAGCTCTCCTTCGATGACATTTCGACTGGTATGATTCTGCCCGGTAGGGTCACCAAGGTGACCGAGAGACAGGTCATCCTGCAACTCAGCGACTCGATCGTCGGTGCGGTCGATTTGATTGACATGGCAGACGACTACACGAAGGCCAACCCTACCGTCTACCAGAAGAACGAGGTTCTCCGTGCCTATGTTGTGAGCGTCGATAAGGACAAGAAGAAGATCTCCCTTTCCACGCGCCCATCAAAGGTTCTGAGCTCGGGTCTACCCGTGCAGGACAAGGAGATCACTTCCATCAAAGACCTCGCCGTCAACGATGTGGTCCGTGGCTTCATCCGCAGAGTCGCCGATAACGGTCTCTTCGTGACTGTTGGCCATGGCGTCACTGCCTACGTCCGTGTCTCTGACCTCTCGGACTCCTATCTCAAGGAGTGGAAGGATTCCTTCCAGAACGATCAACTGGTCAAGGGTCGTGTTACTGTGGCCGATGCCGAGCAAGGCAAGCTGCAGATGAGCTTGAAAGAGTCGGTCTTGGATCCCAACTACAAGGCCCCGCTCACCCTCCACGACCTTAAGCCTGGTCAGGTCGTTACAGGAAAGATCCGCAAGGTGCAAGATTTTGGTGCTTTCATCGTCATTGACGGCTCCGCCAACATCAGTGGTCTTTGCCACCGCAGTGAAATGGCTGATAAGCGTGTTGATGATGCTCGCACTCTCTACGAGGAGGGTGACGCTGTCAAGGCGGTCATCTTGAAGATTGACCGTAAGCAAGAGAAGGTCTCTTTCAGCCTTAAGGCTTCATACTTCAACGACGAGGATGAAGATGAAGATGAAGACAGCGAAGAAGACGGCGACGAGTCGGAGGGCGTCAGCCTCGATGGCTTTGGTGGAGTTGATGTCGAGGACAGTGATGAGGACAGCGATGTGTCCATGGGTGGAGTTGATGTCGACGATGATGAGGACAGTGGAAGCGAGAGCGAGGATGAGTCCATGGATGAAGCACCTTCCGCTCAACAAGGAGGACTCGGTGCAAACGCCTTCGACTGGAACGGCAACTCCAAGGACACGGAGGAAGCGGTGGAGTCCGATTCCGACTCAGATGCTGAGTCTCGCCCTAAGAAGAAGAAGAACCGCAAGCCTGAGATTCAAGTTGACCGAACCGGCGATTTGGATGCCAATGGACCTCAGTCTGTGGCCGACTACGAGCGATTGCT